TTTTCTGTAATACTCAGAGCAAGTTCGTGATACTCCTTGGCCTTCTCAAAGTCTCCCAGTTTGTTGTGCACCAGACCCAAATTATTGTAACTAGCTGCCACTTCTACATTCTCAGGTCCAAGCTTTTTCTGTAATACTCAGAGCAAGTTCGTGATACTCCTTGGCCTTCTCAAAGTCGCCCAGTTTGTCGTGCACCAGACCCAAGTTACTGTAACTAACTGCCACTTCTACATTCTCAAGTCCAAGTTTTTTCTGTGTAATGCTCAGAGCAAGTTCGTGATACTCCTTGGCCTTCTCAAAGTCGCCTAGTTTGTTGTGCACCCTACCTAAGTTATTGTAACTAGTTGCAACACTAGCGTGCTGTGGTCCAAACTTTTGGAGAAAAGCTAACAATTTCTTTGCGGCCTGAAAATGACAATGGTTCTCACATATCTTGCCGAGCTTTTTCATTTCAGGCTGGACGATTTGAGGAAGGGCAACTTTCGAAAGTACGTTTTCAAATCTAAGAATGAAACATTTCAAATGTAGGGCAAGGACGTAGCTTTGCAAAATTGAATCTGACGATCCCATCGGTAAGTTGTCATCCATGAACTGGCCAAACGCCGCAATAGCGCTTTTCAAAGTTTTCACGTGATGGCTTTCTGGATAGCCCTTAATCAAAGAGTGAACGATATCGCGCACGATCTGATGTACCCAGATGAGGAAACCGAACTCATCTTCATGTAATAAAATTAGCGAACATCTTTGGAGTTTCATAATTATCATCTCTTCATCTTTTATTCCTTCATCGACGCTTACAATATAATTCACCACGATTTCCACATTTAAGGGCTGTGACGAAAGGAGGGAGAGAAAACTTAATGCATGATCTATGGTTCTGTCTGATTGCATTACCTCCTTAACGGCCAGTGTTGTTGCTGTTGTCATCGATTTCTTGTAACATGGGTTGGTCTCTGTAAGTAGAGTCTCTGTCTCATCACGTTGCCCTTTCTCTACTTTCCTCAAATAGTCATTCCATCCAAACTCTGAGAGACGTTTGCTCTGTCGAAGTTGCTTCACATAGGTGGCTGCGCTTGCTAAAGCAAGAGGTTGGTAGTCGAGTTCTCTAGCTACTACTTCCTCCATCTCACTATCGCTGATACCAGAAATCAGGGCTAACAAAGAAGACGCCTCTTGAGACTGCATACCCTCGCTTACTGAGATGTGTCGAATGGAAGTGCTTGTTAACGGTATACATGTACTATCTTGGGTTGTGATCAACAGATACCCCTTTCCCCACTGTCCATGTCCTTGCTGGGGTAAATGAACATGCATTTCAGATAAGCTTTTCACGTTGTCAGCCAACAGAAGCCAGGACTCGTACAGATCAATCTTTGAGCTGATTAAGGATATCATGCTGTTAATCTTGTCCTCTGTCTTCAAACATTTGGAGCTATGGATTTGTACAATCATATCTTCGAGGCACTTCATTTGTCGAGCGCACATCAGAGTCATCACAAACGTTACAGAGCGGGAATTTTCTTGGGCTTTCTCGTAAAATCTCTCGGCTACAAGACTTGCTAGTTTACCGCTGCCAGGATTTCCGGATATATACAAGATACTTAAGTTGCTCGCATCAGCTCGCTTAAGCTCCTGCAACTGTTTTGTCATTTCAGCAACCTCAACATCGCGACTTGCTATGTCGTGTGAAGGTTTAGGAGGAAGAATGCAAAACGGGGAGGTGTCGTTCAGTAGTTGTTCTGTAAGAACTTGTCGTTGAAATTCGGATTTCTTCAGCTGATCTTCAAAGCTCTTCATTTGTTTTTCTTTCTCTTGTAACTGATCTTCAAAGCTCTTTCGTTTCTCTTCCATTTCCCTCACATTATCTTCAAGGTTTCTTTGTCGTTCTTCTGTTGTCTTAAGCTGGTCTGTACGGGTCCTGCGTTTTTCTTCTCTTTCCTGTAGCTCATTTTCTTTTTTTTGTAAGAGATTCTCAAGGCCCATTCGTTTTTCTACTGTTTCTTTAATCTCATTTTTAAGAACCTGTAGTTGCTTTTCAGTTTCCTTAAGCTGATCTTCAAGACAAATTCGTTGTTTTCCAGTTTCCTTCAGCAGATCTTCCGGATCCTCGCGTTGACTCTCTATCTTCTTCAGCTGATCTGCAAGGTCCTCGTTTTCTTTTTCTATTAAGTCTTTCTTTAAGTGTTTCACTTTGTCTAAGACATCTCTTAACTCTTCTGTAGGAAACGTCTTTTGGTTTGTGATTTGTTGAATCTCTATAGTGGAAAGACCTAGTGCTTGGAATGCTGCAGAAACTTTGCCAATAGCAATTTTAAAGTCTAACTCCGAAAGTTGACCTTGTGGCATATGAGCAAATTCTTCATTGCGAAATTTCCTAAGATCGTCGACATTCCTTCTCACCACCGCGTTTAGTCTGAACATGCAATCTGAGTAGAGAATGGCGTAAAAAAACATGGTAGAATCCCATTTCGCTCTATTTCCTTTAATCATGGTCGACAACATATGCTTGTTCCTCCTTTGGTTTCGTGGGGACTCTACATTGTAAAAGTCTTTCCCGTTACTAGGATCATCTTTCCATTCTCCAAGAGCCGTTCCGAAACGCATGTCCCATTCTTGTTTAAAAATTGTTCGCAAACCTTCAACTTTATTGATGACAAATTTTGTTTTGACGCGACTTCTTTGCTCGAAATCTGGGCTCCAGCGTGAAGCTCGGCCAATAGTAGTCATTAACGAAGAATTTTTTTTTCTTTCCTTGACAGAATGGTACTCTTTCTCTCTTCTTAGGGACTTCTCTTTTTTCTTTTTTATCAAGGACTTTCTTCTGCTTTTTATTTTTCCATGAGCAAAGATTTTTCCAAAAGCAAAGAGCTTCCACGAGTGAATTTTGTCGAGTGGGCAATGAAAAACGAGTCCCAAGATGAGTGGTCCATACGGGGGCACTTTGGGTATACCGGATACAGGCCCTTGGATGTAGCGTGAAGCACTGCTGTTTTTTCCAATTTCAGAAGCCCTTTCTGAGGAATTTGGAGTCTCTCCAGCAATAGTTGTAACAGCAGAAGTGACAATATGGTCATTGGCGGGGCCGGCTCCTTCTTGGTTGTAATCTTACTAGTAGAATATTATTTCATTCAAAAGAACAAAGAAAACGTGGCTTGACCGATTAAAGCCTATCACTCTGATGAACGTAAACAATTACTTACCCAGAGGCTTTTCAAGGTCGTCCTGTTCTTCCTTTTGATCTGTTTCATCACAACACCGTTTCCAAAAGGTATTTTTTGTTGTTGTCTGGAGATAGGGACCCATCAAAGTCCCTGTATTGATTTCACATGGGGGCACTACGGCCATATTGTCTTTGGGCTCTTGGTTTTGGCGTTCGGCACTGCTGTTTGTTCCACTTTCAGAGCTTATTTCGATAGCATTTGAAGTCTCTCCACCACAGTCACAATAGCAGAAGTGACAAATTGGTCCTCTGCACGGTCAGCTCCTTCTTGGTTTGGGTGTAATGCACCATTTGTAACAGCGTCTGAAACAAACGCAATTACCTCCTGTTTGTGATGCAATCGACAATCTCTTAGAGAGAGAAATTTCGATTCAAGATAAGTTTGCTCTCTTTGTCAACTCCACGGTTAGATGCCATTTCTTATCGTGGACATTTTCAGGAGTTTTACCGTCAGGATTTGAAAGTATCTGGGACAGCACTTACAGCCTGATAAAGCTTTTGTGGGTGATGAATTTTTGCATAGCAACTATTACTGGAACTTCTTAAGTAAATTGCATCATTTAGAAGTCCTATGGATTGTCTAAATCTAGGACATAATCAACTTGTGCTACGTCTTTAATGCTACTTGATTAATCCACGATCTAAATTTTGTTGCTTTACGAGAAGTACAGGCACATTTGATTAGCATTTTTTGCTCAATTCAAATAATCACAGATAATGCTAAGTCTATTTTTTCTTGATATTCTTGAGCCGAGTTTAAAACAGATCTTTCGGAATAATCAGTGCAAGAAAAAACTCTTATCTGTACCATGAGACAAGGATTCCATTTCCATCTCAGAATGATCTCTGTTTGTGAATAAAGACCCACTCCCCGCCTGTCGTTCTGCTCCTGTCTGATGTCGTCGCCTTTCAGCTTCGGTCACGATTGAATCACGCGGATCATTCTTATCTAGTGATATGGAACAACATGGTAAGCTAGAGACGTTATCCGAACGTACTGCATGGTCTTTAAAACGAATTTTAGATGTGTAAGGATATATAATTAATCAAAATGGACAACAGCTATGTTCAAATGATTCTGAGAGCCTGAGTGATAACATGGGAGTAGAATTGGCAGAGCAAAAATTTTGAAGAGAAAACCTTCAAAATTACCCAGAGTAATTTGCCCTATATCTCCATGTTCTGAATCATCTAGTTTACCACCATTTGCATAAGTGTCAGCGGGTGATGGCAATAGCTATGCTTCATCATCCGCTTCCTAGTCACTCTGGTTATCATTGCCATCTGGAGAACTAACCAGTTGGGTGTCATCAGTACCTGGTGTGAATAAATAAAACATCAATTATAGTCTGCTATAACCTACTTCTTGCTACACTTCTATAGCCAATAAAAAATTGCAAAAAAATTCCTGACAATAGAATTACATGTATTTCATGATCCCTAGTTTGGAACTGAACAGGAACGAGTATAGGTACTCCAAAACCCGCCCTAAAAAAAAAAAGCCTAAAGGATCTGCTGATGGTTAGTATAGCAGTAGTCACTGTTTGCTGTAAAACCTCGACTGCAGGAGATATGCTGTACTACATACCTGTATCTTATGATAAGAGTAAAAACTTACAATGTAGACAAACTTTCTTCTCCACGGCGTGCTTGAGCTCTAACCGATTAATGGTTTCATGGCTGTCTTCACTGCAAACCTTTGATAGCCTGTAAGAATGAGTAAATGATGTAACGTGTACAGTCTCATTGAGCTCTATTGCATATTTTCACGACTTCTGTGCAACATTTCAGATACAATGGATCATCTTGCACAAACTAAACGTATAACGTATGGGTAGAAAAAGATACTGTAAGAGAAAAAAACGCTCACTGGGAAAGAACAAGAGAACGCAGCGGCCCTAATCTCTCGATCTGGAGTCCATTGTAAGGATCACAAGGTTGTCCAAGTTTATCTTACCCAAGAATCTGAAAATCGTTGACTTCCCTATAATCTCAGCATTAATTTTCGAGTGGCAAATAAGGCTCTAAATAACCTAGAAAATAATTGTTAAATTATCACCTTTCATTCACATCCTCAAGAAAATCTCCCAAAATGGTATGTCCATTTGCTTTAGCAACATCTCCAGGTAATGTAGAACTTTTTCTGTAGTAATTAAATACTACTCTTCCAGCTGACGTGTTAAAGACCATTTCGAGAAATTCACGGCCATTTATTTCAGCAGCTTTGTAAACAAGAAGTGCAAGAAGTTTTTCAGGTAGAGTGTAACTCCTCTCATTCACATTCGATACTCCTGCTGAAATAAACACATACAATGCATGGTGATATACGAAATGTACTTTAAAGAGTAGTTTAAAAAGATTGATCGTCGTGACTTTTCTAAACTAATCACAGCTCAAATTAAAGAGAGACCATTGTAATCCATTTCGACACTCAATTTAATATTACTCTTAATTCACAAAACATTTCCGTTAGAAAGCGCACTTTTCTGGTGGTAGTCGGTAAGAGTATAAGCTGGGTAGTTCAGTAACTAAACTACTCAACTGAGTAGTTTAGCTAGAGACCAGTGTAGCCGAGGTTAAAAAACTATTTTCCAATTGTCCTAAAAGATAATTATGTTCAAACCAATGAAAGCAATTTCAGTTGGCCAATATCATCATAGGGGCTCCCGATCCATCTTTTCATACGTGTGGGATTCCATTGCATCTCAGTTTAAATCCTATATTTTAAGAAGTTTCCTAATGCGATTATGTATTTTAAGATTGCCTGCCAGCCCTTCTGGTGGGGCATGACAAATGTATCGATCTTTAAATACAATCCATCCCCTGGGTGAATTAAGGACTAGCAATGATTATCGTGATATCACAAAACTTGAAAGATATATCACCATACTGAGACGAGGGTATCCAATACTTATCGACATTTTCAATCGAATTCATGACACTAAAAATTATAAATAAAAGTTGCGCATGATCCCTTGCATACTTCTACACTAACTATATACCTGTCCCTCCTGCACCACAAGGGGTTGCCTCTTGAATACCACTGCCACTTCATTCATTAGTTCCAAAAAGACCCTTTAACGTATTGAAAAGCACACGCTGGCCCAGCTTAACCTCCGAGATCTGTCCAAGTATGACTTGATAATTGTTATTGGTAAATTCCAAAATATATAGGTAAAACCCATTGAGTTTCCATTCGAACCCTCATACTCCAGAGTTACCTTCATTCCTCTGAGAGAAATGAAACACAGCAAAGTGTCAATAGATTTAATATCGTATTACGTAGATTAACTATCTATTACAGTTAAATGATATTTCACTGTCTTATCATTATTACGTATTATTAGTTTTGAAATATGGGTCGGTTAGAAACTAGTTTTCAATCAAGCAACACTTCCTTTATATTGACAAACCTGAGTTATTTCTCTTCTACAGATATATGAGCCTTGACAGCCTAGCATTTACTTCCGTGATTCATCATTCATGTTAGTTCACTTCACTTTATGTACACACTAGAACTCTACATATAAATAAACAAATGTTTACTTATTTATTTTGCCAGTGAGGGTTTTATCATTTTCTATGAGCAAAGGTGCCGCATCTTCAAATTTGGCCACAAGCTTTAACTTTCTGTACGTACTGGGCAACTCTTCTGCCAATACGATGCAGAAGGGTATATCTTCCTACGAGTTTTTGTTAGAAATAAAGCAATCCTTTATTTAATTGAAAGAAATATTTACAAATAATACTCATAGTTTCGTAAAGGGTAAATTGACAGTAACTTCATTACTTCCTCTTTAAGTAAATGTTAAGTTGTTAAACAATATGGTTCAGTAAATAGAGACAAATAAATAAATAATAAATAAATTATAAGAAATTAAATAAATTAATTAATTAATAAATAGAGACAAATCAAGGGGAAGTTATCCTAGCAATTCAAGCTTTCACATGCAGAGTAAGGTTTAAATATTCAAAGCAATATCACAAAAATAAAAACAGGGATGACAACCAGAAGGCATGATATATGATCTACAGCTGTAACTCTAAGCTCATCTATTGCACTAGAAGCACTAGAAGCATGGTAAAAATCTAAATTAAAATATAATGCAAATGCTGCCCAGACCCGTTCAAGTAAAAATCAAGCAAATCCTGAGCTCAAAGCAAAGAATTACAAAGAATTACAAGCAAAGAATTACAATCAAATCAACAATTGATTACCTCTATGGGTTTGGATGAAGAATATATTTGTTTGACCACTGCAACAATTAAAATAACAAAATTAAAACAAAGAAATAAAAAAGTAAATTTCCATAACAATTTTACACCAGATTTACAATTAATTGTGGGAGTGAACAAAGCCAAACAGTATCATTTCTGCTCGTTTGGACTTACAATTTAATAGGAAAGAACCAATCAGAAATTTTATCCAAGAAAAAAATTGACAAAAACCTTTCGTCAATTTCAAAACTTGCACAGAGTAGCTCGTTCCGTCTAAAATCCTTGAGGCATCAGATCAATTGTTGAAGAAGAACCCTTAAAATTCAAGTCACCTGAGTTCAGCTTTAACAAAAATCAACAAGCATGACCTGAGCGCCATATCAGATATTACTTAACAACCTGGGTTGCTCTATCTTGCTTGAGCGGCACATGGGATCATTGCCAGTACAGCTCTCGCACTCCATTAGCTAGAATTAATTATGGTAGACAATTACTAATGAAGAATTATAAACTGACAAAAAAAAAAACCCTCTTACTCCCCATTATTTTTCAGTTTTTTGGAACAGCCACTTTGTTAATCAAATAATATTTTTTCTCCTCAGCTTTACCCTTAGGTGTGAGAGAGACTTAGCCTTTCATCTTTGAGTTACTTAGCTACAATCAGAACATCAGCACCATTTTCTTGTGTTGTGTAAATATGTGATAACTGTTTTTCTAATGTTCATCTTAGATATCCGGTTTACATCATATTTTCATCTATTTAACCATTACTTTATTGCAAATTTTTAATCCAACCCTAATCTCCGCATATTTGGCTTTCAAACCACATCTCCCGACCCGACCCCAAAGCAGAGTCACCATCCTCAGACGAACTGAAAATGCAAAGATGTGAATCAACAGTGTCTCCCAGAAACTATATACTATATTCAATTTTTAGAGAGAAAATAGTATCTGGATGCCAGGCTTATTCATCGCTAAAAACCATTCCCTTATCCTCCCCCCCCCCGCCCATCCCTTGCCGACTCATCAAGTTTCTCTAATAGTTTGTCAGTTGCCCTCGATATTCAGTGCTGGAGAGCATCACCCTGACAATAAAGTAGTAACGTATTGTCCTCAAGATTGCGTCACAGTGACCATACGGTGGCTCAAATTTGAACCACTCGATCAGTTGTTCCTGCGTATTATTTACTAAACCATTGCAATTCCCTAACTTTGATGTATCCTCTTCTCGTATCCTTTGTGATATCGGCGTCTGAAGGCTACCTCCACCAGAAAACAACCCACTCACAAAGCATGACACAAATATTCTTATTTTGGCTGGGTAAGGCATAAACAAAATTAAGATTTTGTCTTGTTTCTGAGTTCCAGGGCGCGTACGCTTGAGTGACAAGGCATCACATAGCAAGGTTTGATACCACATACTTAGACGGAGCTTCGAAACAGTCACTCTGAAGCCTAGGGAAATGGTTTGACGACTTCATATTAACTGGGTTGCGATCTCTTTTTTACTACAGTCCTAGACACACGGGTTTTTACCCATGAATATGTAATGCATCGATCGGAAAAAGCAATTTGAAAATTCCTAGTGTTAACGCGGCCTAGGAAGTCAAGGGAGGGCATGCATCTTATCAAAGATGGCGAACCCATTGAAGAGAGCTTCTGTGGGGATGACGGCTAATCTTTTGCCGATAATGTACTAGGGAATAGCCCTTTTATCAGAATGTGAAAAACTGAATATTCCCTCTTAACACATTGTTAGGAGATTAAAAATTAAACGTCAAGTTTCTTTTGTCAACTTCAATCTTGACCCGACGAAATAACCAATTTATTCTGCACGTTATATCTACAAGTTCATCATAGTATCACTTGGATCTTATTATATCGATTGATGGGTTCAAGTACGGAAGGTCTTAAAGGGTCAATACTTCTTACAGGCATCGACGGTAGCATTATCACGCAAACTGGCCGCAATTCAACGATAAAAGCGCCCATGTAGACAATTCAAATCAATCCCTTGGACAGTGTAATACGTTGCAATCAGAGAAACACTTGAAGTGTAGAGTTACGAATTTAGAATAAAATGTTCATTCCCAGTTGTACTTGGATCTATCAGTTTCGTCATCTTACAAGACTATCTCACCGCAAAAATACTCTTCTAACTTTCGTTTTCCATAACTGTTTCTGATGCCGCATTTGTTCTCTTTTTCCCACGTGTCCCGAAATATTATGGAGAAGTAAAACATGTTACAACTCTAGCCTTCAGACAATCAAAAAATAACCCCTACCCCTACCCCCTTGCGAGTAACTTATTTACGAGATGATCATAACAAACGAACCAGACATAACGACCCATGCGCTATCCAGGCTTAAATTAGGCTTTCATTCGAAACTTTTGACTGGGGAGGAGAGGGAGCCCTATGTGACAAAATGATATTTTCAACCCTCAAGTCCAATTAAAGAAAAACAACAACTTTCGTTTATAATTTGCTTGAAGATGAAAGAGGGGTGTGCTGTTGTTATTTGCGGAAGAGTAAACCGTCGGGTTTTTTCAAGAAGTAATGCCAAAAGAACTCTTAAAACATAAGCCGTTGACATTTTTTGGCGGTAGGCTGTTTGTGAAAGTCTTAACCCGCCCGCTTCGGTAGCAAGTCGAAAGATAAAACCACAAAAGCATCTGTTTGGTGAGAAAGCTGTCGGTGTATTTTAATTGAACATAATCTCTTCCTAGGATCTCACATTTGACTGCAGAAAAATATCTGAACCTATCTAAGCTCTGAATAAGGCCAATACATATTGTCGATAAGACCGGTAAACTTAACTCCATCAAGTCAAATTAACTATCACTGAATTCAATCATCTTAAGATGCACGGGGCTCCTCGCATAACGCTCTAGGCAACGCGTGACTTTCACTTAAAAATGTGGAAAAAAGATAGATATAGCTTCAAATTATTCAATTTATCATAAGATCTAAAAATCAAAGGGACAAATTATGCTAAATATTATGGGAAAATTAAAACGGCCTAAATTCTCACGCGCATGAAAAAGCAGCTCACTGTGTTTTCCAGATTGTTTAGCAGTCTTTCGCTTCACAACATCAACATGCTCTTGTCCCAGCTTTTTATGTTGAATCTCCAGTGCACGCTTATAGCAGTCTTTTGCTTCATCTGTTTCGCCCAGATCACTGTGTAAAACACCCAGATTGTTGTAAGACTTCGCAACATCAACATGCTCATGTCCCAGGTTTTTAAGTTGGATCTCCAGTGCACGCTTATGGCAGTCTTTTGCTTCATCTGTTTCGCCCAGATCACTGTGTAAAACACCCAGATTGTTGTAAGACTTCGCAACATCAACATGCTCAGGTCCCTGGTTTTTAAGTTGGATCTCCAGTGCACGCTTATGGCACTCTTTTGCTTCATCTGTGTCGCCCAGCGCACGGTGTAAAGTACCCAGATTGCTGTAAGACTTCGCAACATCAACATGCTCACGTCCCAGCTTTTTCAGTTGAATCTCCAGTGCACGCTTATAGCAGTCTTTTGCTTCATCTGTTTCGCCCAGATCACTGTGTAAAACACCCAGATTGTTGTAAGACTTCGCAACATCAACATGCTCAGGTCCCAGGTTTTTAAGTTGAATCTCCAGTGCACGCTTATAGCAGTCTTTTGCTTCATCTGTGTCGCCCAGCGCACGGTGTAAAGTACCTAGATTGTTGTAGCACCCTGCAACATGAACATGCTTAGGTCCCAGGTTTTTCAGTTGAATCTCCAGCGCACGCTTATAGCAGTCTTTTGCTTCATCTGTTTCGCCCAGATCACTGTGTAAAACACCCAGATTGTTGTAAGACTTCGCAACATCAACATGCTCAGGTCCCAGGTTTTTCAGTTGAATCTCCAGTGCACGCTTATAGCAGTCTTTTGCTTCATCTGTGTCGCCCAGCGCACGGTGTAAAGTACCCAGATTGTTGTAAGACGTCGCAACATCAACATGCTCATTTCCCAGGTTTTTAAGTTGGATCTCCAGTGCACGCTTATAGCAGTCTTTTGCTTCATCTGTTTCGCCCAGATCACTGAGTAAAACACCCAGATTGTTGTAAGACTTCGCAACATCCACATGCTCAGGTCCCAGGTTTTTAAATTGGATCTCCAGTGCACGCTTATGGCAGTCTTTTGCTTCATCTGTGTCGCCCAGATCACTGTGTAAAACACCCAGATTGTTGTAAGACTTCGCAACATTAACATGCTCAGGTCCCAGGTTTTTAAGTTGGATCTCCAGTGCACGCTTATGGCAGTCTTTTGCTTCATCTGTGTCGCTCAGATCACTATGTAAAACACCCAGATTGTTGTAAGACTTTGCAACATCAACATGCTCAGGTCCCAGGTTCTTCAGTTGAATCTCCAGTGCACGCTTATAGCAGTCTTTTGCTTCATCTGTGTCGCCCAGCGCACGGTGTAAAGTACCTAGATTGTTGTAGCACCCTGCAACATGAACATGCTTAGGTCCCAGGTTTTTCAGTTGAATCTCCAGCGCACGCTTATAGAAGTCTTTTGCTTCATCTGTTTCGCCCAGATCACTGTGTAAAACACCCAGATTGTTGTAAGACTTCGCAACATCAACATGCTCAGGTCCCAGGTTTTTCAGTTGAATCTCCAGTGCACGCTTATAGCAGTCTTTTGCTTCATCTGTGTCGCCCAGCGCACGGTGTAAAGTACCTAGATTGTTGTAAGACGTCGCAACATCAACATGCTCAGGTCCCAGGTTTTTCAGTTGAATCTCCAGTGCACGCTTGTAACTCTCTTTTGCTTCATCTGTTTCGCCCAGCTCACTGTGTAAAACACCTCGATTGCTGTAAAAGCTTGCGGTATCAGTCCTGCCATGATCTTCACCATCCCTTATGAGGCAAAGGATCCATTTCTCAGTTTCAGGTTGTGGATCCTTCAGTGACGCATCATTTATTTGTAGATTGTGAAGCAATTTATCTACAACCTTTTTTGGGGCGTCCGATGTTAACTGGGGAGACTCGCTAACTTTGTGAGGCAAAACAAAAGATTTGTATCCATTCCCTAAAATATCAAAAAACAACGACAGCGAAAGACAAAATGAGCCACAAAAAATAAATTTAACATTTAGGTAATGAAAATACCTTGATAATTTCTTTCTGTGAGTTGCTATTTCTACCAACTAACCTTCTTGTTTGCTTTTTTCAGCTGAGGCCGTCTGACCTCTAAGCATTTCCTTCAACTCTTCTATTTCAATTTCTGTCCTCTCAGTTGTTTCTCCGAGTCTTCTCTCCATGATGCTTCTCATGGTTTCCAGCAAATCTGAAAATTTCAAAAGGTATGCGCACTTTCCTGAGCAAATTTCAATCACAGCTTCACGTTTAGGTGCAGATAAAACAATGGTACGTATATCAATATCTAGTCGATTCAGAATAGATCAAACTCAAAATAAGACGCTAAGAAATCATAAAAATGCACTCCAGCACTTTTACACAAGTACCCACGAACAGACAAAAATACTGGAAATGAAAACATAGTGTCAAAATTTGAGTTAATTCTTCGTTTTCCACATATAACGCTAGCATAACTTTCCAAATATGTCACTAGTTCCGACCAACTAACCTTCTTGTGTGCTTTTTTCAAGAGATATGAGTATTCAAGAAGTGATGGATCACATACTTTCAATCAAGCTTGTAAGCTCCTCCTTTCAAGTTAGAACAACGTCCCTTGATGGGTATCGGAGTGTAAGAAGTGACAACGAAGGACAGTTTAAACACTAAGCCCTCTTTACTTGACTCGTACGCAGGCGGGGCTATATTTGAAAGAGATTTCCCAGAGATTTCCGAACGCAATTTCAAAGAGTTTGCCTCTAACTACTGTCAAACTAAAACAGGTATAAAAAAGCGAGCTTCTCCCGTTGTTATTGAGGCTTATCCCGACTACTTTTCAAGTCCTAAAGGGCCTTCTTATGGTTTGTTCTGTAGATACCGATTACTAAGATGTAAATTTTCAAGTTGGTGGCATTCAGTTGATAGTACATGGGGTGACAAAGGAGGATCTGATTCTTCTTACATTGATCATTGGCATTCTCTCTTGCAGACACCAAACGCAAAACAATTTGTACCAAATTAGCTTTAGCAAATGTATTCAATTTTAGAATATGTGAATCAAATCATTGACAAAGATAACTTCACAGAAACTGATACTGGCGAGAGAGAGAAGAATAAATGATTCTTGCTGACCTGAAATTCAATGGCAATGATGTGCCTGAACAACCCTATGTTAGTCAAACTGACATCAACCATGCTGAAGACCAGACACTTTACAACAGAGCAAATAGGTGATATGCCCCACTGGATTGAAGAGGGGAAAAATGCTGTTATAAGGAAACAAATGCAACACCAGTGCCAATAGTAATTGACAAAATGAATTACAATCAAACAGTTGCTTTCAATATATCAAAGACCACTTAAGTTGGACAGGAACAATAATCAACTTTTAATGATAATTACTGGTTTTGGTGGTTCTTGCAAAAGTTTTGAAATAAAAGCAGCCACAAATATCCTAAATGAACAATGTAAAGTATATGCTTTCTTTGGAATAGCTGCATTTAATAGAAAGGGAACTACTCTCCATACACCTCTGCAGCCATTGGGCAGAATGGCTATTGTTCTCGCGACATTTACTTGCAGTGGCGAAAATGTTATAGATATGTAATATAAGCGTCGAAGCATAAACAGGGAGGCTCTCATTGGTCGAAGATCACGCGCACTTTCCTCCAAAGGGAATACTGCCTTAGCTCATTAACTTGTCAAGGCGGAGCTAAGAAACAAAGGCCTCGAAACTTATTGTTTCATCTATTGTTTCTGATAGCACACTTAAAGCGCGCGTATTTCAAGCTGGCTATGCGTTGCATTTTTAAAGTCATTTACGTTCGATTTTTTTCAAAAGCCACAACACTTTCATCTCTCGCTACAACCTAAACAACATACATTTCGCTTCATATCAAGCCTACGACAGTTTGATAAACAGCGGGTGTTTCTATTATTTATCGCTTGGGATTCGATTGTCTCATCGAAAAATTACATACATCATAAATGAAGGACGAAATAAAGTCTTTGAATCGCTCTAACGCAAGTTTTTCCGAATCGACGAAAGGAAAAAAACCTACGAAGTAGAGCATAGGAACAAATGCGCTATTTTAGGATTACAGTTTCCTCGAGCTTTTTATGATAATTCTATCCCTGGACTGGAACTGATCATCAGCATACTTTTCTTGATGCCTAAACACCTGTTCCCAAGCCGAACATTACTTAGCGGTATTTATTCCCATTCCACGCAGTAGCTATCTCATCTGACTGCATCCGATTTCGCTTTTTTCGATCGTGGTGGGAGGCTCGTAAGCCCCCCGTTAAGGTTTGTGTTTCACTTTCCAGAAGTGCTCTTAGGATTCATCGCCTCGAGAAGCTTAGAACCCCAGAGAGTTTTCTGACGCTTTAAAGGTGGTGGCGGGAATCCAGCGAGCTCTGAAAAGAGATCCCGGTCGCATTCAGATTGCCGAGCAATCGGGGATTCAGTGAGCTCTGAAAAGAGCTCACTGAGGTAGAGGTGAAAAGAACGGGCCATTGAAGTCATCTGCTTTGGCAAGGTTGCAAACTGATTTAAAAGGACTCAAATATGTAATTATCAACGAATTTTCTATGATTGGCCAGAAAATGTTTGGTTGAATTAACAGGCGTTGTAAGGAAGCAACTGGCTGCACCATTTTTCCATTTGGTGGAATTTCTGTAATATTAGTTGGAGAGATTGGTCAATTACCTTCCATAGGTGATCAAGTTAAATATCGCACTAAACCAACGATTAACATTGCTTTAGAAGGGTACTGCATGTATCGAAAGTTTGCAACAGTTGCTAAGAGAACGAACGAGCAAAAGGTGCAGAGGTTGTAGAGCAACAGTTTAGAAACCTTCAAACAAGAGAAAAAAATGGAAATTCAACTCTTGAAGACTGGAATTTGCTTTTGTCGAGAACACCTCAGAATGCCAAAAACATCACAAATTTTAAAACCTCTGCCGTCAAACTGTCATTTGGTACTGAATAAGTTGCGACAGATAACTTGACAAGGCTTAAGCAACTTGAAGAACTCATTGTACAGATCAGTTCATATCACACCAACCTTAAAGCAAAGCACCTTGGTGCAAAAGACATGGTTGGCTTAGAACCAACTATATATTTAGCCAGAAAAGCTGGAGTTATATTAGCAAGGAACCTTTGGGCTAGCGTACAACTTTGCAATGGAAGTATGGGAACTGTAAAGCACATAATTTTTGCACAGAACCAAAGGCCACCCAGGCTACCAAGTACTGTTATTCTGCAGTTTGATAAGGATGATTACATAGGTCCAAGCTTTTGTGAAAATACGCCAGATTGTGTGCCGGTTTTTCATTTCTCCAGTAACATCATATATAAATGATACAAATGGAGTAAATCTTTAAAAACAGCAGCTGCTATTAAAACTCGCTGAGTCCATAACCATTCATAAGTCAAAAGGAAGAAGCTAGGCTGAACATTTTGGAAGAAAAGACTTGGCATAACTACAAAAAGAAACTTGCAATAAAAGTCTAATTACATCTTTTGCAATGTCTGCCACCATAAGTCAGTAAATATTACCTAATAAACTTCTACACTAACAGTTATGAAGTATACATTGTATAGACAGTATAATGTTAAGTTGTTTTATCAGCATCATTAAGTTCACTAAAAAATCATTCAACTCTCATTTAACAGATGGATAATTCTACCGGCCTAGGTCCCACAAAGGGGACAAATATGGGATCCCTAAATCCCAAAAATTTACACCTCTGTCAAGCTCGAAAAGCAAGTTTTTCTCTATTATATAATGTATTATTATTCGTTACTGTTTATGCCTACTATTGCTGATGCCCATCTCTACTTAACAGTCTCAACCACAAACCAGTAGTACAGGAAAGAAATGATCAATCTAAACAACAAGTGTGACATCCCCATTCTTCCCTGAGAAAACATAAATATTATAACTCCTTAAAACAGGGATTAATATTTATGTAAACTGTACCATGGCAAACTACATACATACGCACATACTTTATTGAGACTCCCCTCAATAGGGCTTATCAGTCACAATGTTGACTATTACATAATACTGGAAATTAAGAAACTTATGTCAGTAATTTAATTCAATTTATAATATATTCAAATTTATTCAAAATATAGTCAAACCTATTTCTTTAGTGTTCTTTATATCGTGGGCTAGGCCGTTCCATTCCCTTGGACCCCCCCCCCCCCCAAAAAAAAAGGCCGTTTAACAAAATATTTATGTCAATTATCTGGAGCTAAGCCATTTACACATTTGAATGCTAAAACTAAGCCATTGAATAAAATTTTCTCCGTAACATCTAACCTTCTGAGAGATCTCCGTCGCTAAGAGGTGTGGCACACTTCCTTAAACCTAATTCAACTCTAGAAGCAAAATTGTGTGCCAACTGCAGTTTGCGTAGATTACGTTTAGATGTGTTCCCCCACACTAAGGAACAATAAAATAGTTTACTAAAAACAAAGCTATTTATAAGTGATAAAGTGTTTTTTTTGTCCAAAAGGTGGTTAGATTTATTTATCTGTACTAACTAGTTAATGCAACAAGAGGCTGTTTTAGTTATATGTACAACATAAGTTAGATATGAATCAATATATACCACGAAATCCTTAGCAAACGAAACTGGTGAGAAAGTTTTGCCTAACAGGGAAAAGGAGATATGAGGTAGCCTCTTAATAAGTTGTGCTGAGCCAACAACCACTAATTTTGTCTTCTCAGGGTTTATAGATAGAGGATTCTTTGCACACCATTTACTGACGTTTTTTAGATCTTGGTTTACGGCTGTCATAGCACTTGATGAGTCTAATACAGTAAATTTAAAGTGCAGCTGACTATCATCAACATACGCAGCGGGTTGACTGTGGGTAATGACGCTGATTAAATGATTGATGTAAATAGTAAAAAGCACAGGACCCAAGATTGATCCCTGAAATTATTTAAACCGTAATCCGCAAGCTATAAAACATGCACATCAAATTTTGAGGCTAAATTTTTGTGTATTTTCAAAGAATAGTTTTTCTTCAACAGATTGCACCGTATATATTCAAGAAGTTCAAGAAGTCCAGCAAAGTAAAAACTCCAAGAACTTTTACTTTGACATACGACTACAAACTGCAAAAGATAAAACCAAATGTGTGAGAGTTATGGTCCAAAGAGGAAAGTCATCCAAGCGAAAATTTTTTTCTGGATAAATTACAAACCCAGCAACCGATAACGCTATCCAATCTCCAAGTAGCAACAAGCAACATGGTATTCCTAAGCAAGGGTACAGCTATTCAAAAAGCACCTCCACATTCTATTCACTTTCCATTCAAATCACTGGCGCCAATGACACCAACATCTGTAGATACTATCCCTAAATACCACTCTGGAAATAACACTGTCTCTAGTTGTATTAAATAGCTTGGAGAACCAGTGAAACCAGAAAATGTAACTAAAATGGTGCAAGAAGCTAAAATCACCAGCCCTACTGGAGCTATTAATTTATCAGTCTGGGATAGCCACATCCAGTGGATCGAAGGGAAAAAATTTTACACTGTCACCGACTGCAAGCTCGAGCAGCATCATGGAAAACGCCTTGCCAGTAAACACAACAGTTACCAAAGCATAAGAGCAGGACATCTCCCATCTTAAGCCATCACAGAACCAACCAAACCGGGTTTGCTGTCCAAGTATCATGAACGTTTATCCAACTATTTATCCAGTGTGCCACACAAAGACCGTAGCACAAAAATTAGTGAAAATCCTGGGTCTAGGATTGTACGTTGTACATTGCAACAGAGCAATGCCTCTAAAGAACTGTTATATTGAGATGAACATTAATTTTCATCTAAAAAAACAGGGGCAGCACTTATCAGTGACAGCATTTCCAAAAATTGGAACAAGGACAACATTGACGACTTGACCGAGAAGTTATTGTTGTTCAAAAATGTTGATTTTGAGCTTTCTCAGAATAACAAACTTGTTGTAAATATGAAAAGCCATACCTCATCTTCACAGCGAAAGTGAACAAAAAACTATCTGGTAAAAACAAAATGTAAAGCCTTAACCCTTTAAGTCTCAGAAGTGATTTACATGTGACTTCTCTCTTTAATATCCATACATTATCCAGCAAGCAGGTAATGAGAATTCTCAAACTTATCAGGTAGAGATTGTTGTCTTGATCTAAAACCAAACAATTGTCACTAATTTACAAGGAACGTGTAGTCAGTATAGGAGAGAATTAAGAATTAGATCTTGGGAGTTAAAAGGTTACGTAAGACAGACACTAGTGATAACTGAACATGGTGTAGTGGTAAGCAGTTTTCATGAGATTCTTTAACTTTTAAACTATTTTCGAGTGTTCAGTCAATTGAGTTGAAGGTTCTTTATCAATGATTCCTCAACCAAAACGTGGACAGTTTGATTCATTTGTTCTAATTAGCCTTAGTTACAATTTTATGATAGGCTGTTAAAGAGCTCAATTACAACTGTAGCTAACTACAAATTGTGAGTTTAGCTCTAAATGGAAACAAGCGTACAATTTATTATGTTAATCACAATCTTTTCTAGTGATATCTTGATGATGGCTTGATAATTATTATTTTCGTTATTGTTAACATTTTTTGCAAATTACTCACCTAATTAAAAAATCGATTTTTTGCTAGAGGAAACCTCCATATTTTTATAATACAAAACGTTGTTGTTAGAAGAAAATCAAGTGGTATATTGTATGTTTGTAATAGATTTATATTGCCTGGTTTATGGATAATTAGATTGTGAACCATTATATTTTCGAGCGATAAAGAGTTGCGGGTTTAGTTATTATTGTTGTAATGGTTATTGGTGACTTTTTTTCTCGCAAAAAGTTACACAAATTTATTAACATACAATACGTTGCTGTTAAACAGAATATTCATACAATACTGTGTGATTATAATATGTTTTATTGTCCAATGTACGGGAAAAAATGTTGGCTGCTTACATGGATGTTAACTTCAACAAAATTTTTGACGAGTCCAATTTTCGACGGCCGTATCTACAGTGTTTATATTCAATACACATCGTCATAAACAGGTGTTCAAGCGCAGGGGCAGTTCTAGTGAACATTATCTCTAATTTAACTACGAGTTCCTAAGAAGTAATTTTGTCACAGTTCAACCTTCTTTATCTCGAGCAATCATGAGTGGAACCTTTTGAGGTTAAGTAAGCAGTTCCTTAACAAAGTGATACATTACCTGACCTGTCCGGCAAAGTATACCGGTAATTTTATTCTAGAGAACACTCTGGCAAAAAAAGCCAATCAGATTGTGGAATTAATATCTCTTCAAAAGCTGTGCCAAGAATGCAAACTATTACTTACTTGGAGGCTTATCGACGTTGTTCAGTTCTTCCTCTTGATCTTTTCCATTGCAATTACGTTCCCTAAGGGTGTTTCCCGTTTTCATCATGATAAAGGGACCAGCCTCTCTCTCCTCATTGTCTCCATACGGTGGCACTTTAGTTATACCGGATACAGGCTCTTGAATGTGGCGTGAAGCACTGCTGTTTTTTCCAACTTCAGAAGAATTAGGAGTCTCTCTAGCAATACTTGTTACAGCAGAAGTGACAATATGGTCATTGGGGGGGCCGGCTCCTTCTTGGTTGCAATCTGACCAGTAGAAAATAATTTCATTCAAAAGAACTAAGAAAACGTGGCTTGACCGATTTAGGCCAATCACATTGATGAGCGTAAACAACTACTCACCCAGAGGCTTTTCAAGGTCGTCCTCTTCTTCCTTTTGATCTGGTTTATCACAATACCATTTCGAAAAGGTGTTTTTTGTTGTCGTCTGGATATAGGAAGCCATCAAATTCCCTGAATTTATTTCACATGGGAGCACTCTGGTCATACTGTCTGTGGGCTCTTGGTTTTGGCGTTCGGCACTGCTGTCTGTTCCTCCTTCAGAGCTTAATTCGATAGCATTTGAAGTCTCTCCAGCGACAGCCATGACAGCAGAAGTGACAAAATGGCCCTCTGCACGGTCAACTCCCTTTTGGTTTGGGTGCAATGCAACATTTGTAACAGCGTCTGAAACAAACGCAATTACCTCCTGTTTGTGATGCAATTGACGATCTCTTACAGTGAAAAGTTTCACGATTCAAGATAAGTTTGCTCTCTTTGTCAACTCCACGCTGAGATGCCATTTCTTACCGTGGACATTTTCAGGAGTTTTGCCGTGACGATTTGAAAGTATCTGGGACAGCAGTTATAGCCTGATAAAGCTTTTGCGGGTGATGAATTTTTGCATCGCAATTATTACTGGAACTATTTAACTACGTTGCGTCATGTAGAAGTCCTATTGATTATTTAAATCTTGGGCATAATCAACTTGTACTACGTCTGAAATATTGCTTAATTAATCAACTGGTCTAAACTTTTTTGCTTTTAAGAAGTGCAGGCTCATTTGATCAGCATCCTTTGCTCAATTCAAATAATTACAGATAATGCTACATCTATTTTACCTTGAGCCGAGTTTAAAAAGGACTTTTCGGAATAATCAGTGCAAGAAACTCTAGGATTACTCTTTATCTCCACATTATCTGTACCATGAGACAAGGATTCCATTTCTATCTCAGAATCATCTCTGTTTGTGAATAAAGACCCACTCCCCGCCTGCCGTTCCGTTCCTGCCTGATGTCGTTGCCTTTCGGCTTCGGTCGCGATTGAATCACGAGAACCATTCTCATCTAGTGATATGGAACAACAAGGTAAGCTAGAAATGTTATCAGGAGATACTGCATAGTCTTTAAAACAAATTTTAGATGTATAACGATATATAATTCATCAAAATGGACAACAGCTATGTTCAAATAATTCTGAGAGCCTAGGTGATAACATAACAACAATATGGGGGTAGAATTGGCAGAGCAAGAATTTCGAAGAAAAAAAATTCAAAATTACCTAGAGTAATTTGCCCTATTTCTCCATGTTCTGAATCATCTAGTTCACCACCACTTGCATTAGTGTCAGCAGGTGATGGCAACAGTGATGCTTCATCATCTGCTTCGTAGTCACTCTGGTTATCATTACCATCTGGAGAATTTACCAGTTGGGCATCATCAGTACCTGATGTGAATAAATAAAATATCAATTATAGTCTGCTATAACCTAATTCTTGCTACACTTCTATAGCCAATAAAAACATTTCAAAAAATTCCTGACAATAGGGTTACATGTATCTCATGATCTCCTGGTTTGGAACTGGCTAGGATCGAGTATAGGTACTCCAAAACCCGCCTTTAAAAAGACTCTTAAAGGATCTGCTGATGGCCAGTATAGCCGTCCTCACTGTTTGCAATAAACCTCTACTGCAGGAGATATGCTGTGCTACATACCCGTATCTTAAGATCAAAGTGAAAACTTACGAGGTAGACAAACTTTCTTCTCCACAGCGTGCTTAAGCTCTAACCAATTAACGGTTTCATAGCTGTCTTCACTGCAAACTTCCTTTGATAGCCTGTAAGAATGACAAAATGATGTAGCGTGTACTTTCTTATCGAGTTCTATTGCATATTCTTGCAACTTCTGTGCGACATTTCAGATACATTGGATCATCTTAGACAAACTACACGTATAACGTATGGGTGGAGAAAGATACTGTAAAAAGTTCACTGGAAAAAAACACGGGGACACAGCGGCCTTAATCTCTCGATCTGGAGTCCATTGTAAAGATTACAAGGTTGTCCAAGTTTATCTTACCTTAGCATATAAAGGTCGTTGACTTCCCTATAATGTCAGCATTATTTTCTGAGTGGCACTAAGGCTCTAAATAACCAGGGAAAGAATTGTAAAATTATTACCTTTGATTCACATCCTCGAGGAAGTCTCCTAAAATGATATGTCCATTTGCTCTAGCAACATCTCCGGGTAATGTAGAACTTTTCCTGTAGTAATTAAATACTACTCTTCCAGCTGACGTGTTAAAGACCATTTCGAGAAATTCACGGCCATTTATTTCAGCAGCTTTGTAAACAAGTAGTGTAAGAATTTTTTCAGGTAGAGCGTAACTCCTCTTAGTCACATTCGATACTCCTGGTGAAATAAACACATGCAATGCATGGTTATATAAGAAATGTACTTTAAAGAGTAGTTTAAAGAGATTGACTGTCGTGAGTTCTTAAACTAGTCCAGCTCAAATTAAAGAGCGACCAGTGTAATCCCTTTTGTCACTCAATTCAAAATTACTCTTAGTTCACAAAACATTCACGGTAGAAAGCGCACTTTTCTTGTGTCAGTCGGTAAGAGTATAAATTGAGTAGTTTGATAAATCTCAGAATGTTGCCAAGAGGCTACGGAATGCACTCCTACTGTATACGAGAATACTAAACTATTTGTGAATTCCACGAGAAAGTCAATGTCGTAAAATACGGTAATTAAGTATTAACAACTGAGTTGATAACGTAAATTGAACAACGCAAGGAGTTTCAAAGCTGAAATTTTGAGCGTTAGCCCTTCGTCGGAGTGAATGGAGGAATTGTGAGTAGTGTGTCTTGTATGTCGTAAAATAGTCAGCTCTAATTTTTGGTTCTCTACAAATGTAATTGACAAGATTTCTCCAAACAAAAGAGACCTGTTTAGCGAGGTTAAAAAATTATTTTCCAATTGTCCTAAAAGAGAATTCTTTTCAACCCAATAACAGTACTTTCGATTGGCCAATATCATCCTGGGGGCTCCCGATTCATGTGGGATTCAACTGCATCTAAGTTATGAATCCTTTAGTTTAAGAAGATCCCTAATGCGATTACGTATGTTAAGACTGCCTGCCAGCCCTTTTAGAGGAGCATGGCAATGTATCTTTTAATAGAATCCATCCCTTCATGAATTAAGGACTAGCAACGATTATCATGATACCACAAAACTTGAAAGATATACCAACATACTAAGACGAGGGTATCTATTACTTATCAAAATTTTCAATCGAATTCGTGACAGTAGAAATAGAAATAAAAGTTGCCCATGATTCCTTGCATATTTATAAACTAACTATATACCTGTTCCTCTTGCACCACAAGGGGTTGCCTCTTGAATACCACTGCCACTTGATTCAATACTTCCAAGAACATTCTTTAACACATTGAAAATCATAGACTGGCCCAGCTTAACTTCCGAGAGCTCTCCAAGTATGACTTGATCATTTTTCTTGATAAATTCGAAAAAGGTAAAACCAATTGAGTTTCCATTCGAACCCTCATACTCCACAGTTACCTTCACTTTTCCAGCCACATGAGATGCTGACGAAAATGAAAGGCAGCCAAGTGTCAGTAGATTTAATATCGTAAGTAGATTAACTATCTACTACAGTTAAGTGATATTTCACTGTCTCGTCATTATTTCGTACTATTTATTTTGAAAGGCGGGCCGGTTAGAAACAAGTTTTGAATGAAGAAAAACTTCCTTGATGTCGACAAGCCTGAGTTATTTCTCTTCTGCAGATATGTATTTACACATATATATCTGACAGCTGAGCATTTACTTCGAATTCATCATACATGTTATTCCAATTCACTGTATGTACACACTCGAACTTTACATATAGATAAACAAATGTTTACTTACTTATATTTCCAGTGAGGGTTGCACTACCGATTTCTATGTCCAAAGGTACAGCATCAATACCCTCAAAGTTGGCCTTAAATTTTAACTTTCTGTACTTCCTAGGCAACTTTAGTGCCAAAGTGATGCTGAAGCGTATATTTTCCTAGGAGTTTTTATTAAAAACAAAGCAATCTTTTATTCAATTAAAAGAAATATTTACAAATAATACTCATAGTTTCGTAAAGGGTAAATTGATAGTAAATACATTACTTCCTCTTCAAAGCATATGGTTGTGTAAGTAGAGAAAAATCAAAGGGAAGTTATTCTAATAATTCAAGCTTACACATCCAGAGTATGGTTTAAATGCGCAACGCAATATCATAATAAATACAGGCGGAGATGACAACTAGAAGGCATGATATATAATATACAGCTGCAAGTCTAGGCTCATCTATTGAACCAGAAGCACTAGAAGCACGGCAAAAAAAGGAATCCAATGAAAATATAATGCAAATGCTGCTCAGACCGGTACTAGTAAAAATCAAATGTAGAACATCAGAAACTTATAATCAGCTAATAATATCCAGTGTTGGTTTATAGTATCATACAGGTAAATAGTTTTTTTTGTGCGCGTTGATTTGCTAGATCGTAATTGTTGGTCTCTGTGTGATTTACTAAGACAGTTATCCATCTCAGTGTCAGTGAAAGTGGTGGATATTTACCTGGCCGCTTCGCAGCTAATGGTAAATATCCACCACTATTCACCTCCACCTCTTGGGTTAATTGTTAGTTAAACTTAACCAAAACCTCCACACAAGGCTTACTAGCACAACATAGACAAGGTTACAAAAATAAGTCTAAATTAATAGCAAATTAGTTATATTGTTCCAAGCAAATCCCTGAGTTCAAAGCAAAGTATTACAATCAAATCAACAATGGATTACCAGTATGGGTCCGGATGAAGGAAATATTTCTTTGACCACTGCAACAATTAGGACACGGAAATTAAAAAGTAAATCTCCATAACAATTTTACACCATCTGTACAGTTAATTGGGGGAGTGAACAAAAAAGGCATCATGTCTGTTTGTTTGGACTTTCAATTTTAAAGGAAAGAACCAATCAGAAATTTAATTGAAGAAAACATAAAAAACCTTTTGTAAATTTCAAAACTTGAACAGAGTAGCTTGTTCTGTCTTAAATCCATGAGGCAACAGACCAATTGTTAGAGAAGAACCCTTAAAATTCAAGTGAGCTTAGTTGTACATGCTTCAACAAAAATGAACAAGCATGGCCCCAGTGCTTTATGAGATGTTACTTAATAAACTGGTTATAGTAGCTGTATCTTGCTCAAGCAGCACATGGGATTATGGCCAATACGGCCCTTGCACTCCATTAGCTAGAGTTAATTATGGTAGATAATTACTTATCAAGAAGTACAAACTGTCAAAAAAACCCTCTTACTCCCCATTATTTTTCAGTTTTGTGGAATAGCCACTTTGTTAATCGAATAATTTTTTTTCTCCTCAGCTTTACCCCTAGGTGTGAGAGAGACTTTACTTAGCTACAATCAGATCGGCAACTTTTTTTTATGTTGTGGAAAACAGGTGATAACTGTTCATATAATGTTCATCTTCGATCTCTGGTTGACATCATATTTTCATCTATTTGACCATTACTTTGTTGTAAATTTTCAATCCAACCCTTACCTCCGCATGTCTGGTTTTCAAACCATATCTCCCGACCCTTCTCCAAAGCGGATTCACCATCCTCAGATGAACTAACAATCTGTTTAAAGAAAAGAGATTAATTTTTTATACTGAGTTTTTTCCTAGTTAACTTAGTTAGTTCACTATTCAAGTTTGAGTAGTAATGCAGTAGCACAAAAGGCTATACCATGCCCAAAATAGGAATCATTTTTCTAGTTTTTTTGTTTAGGATGGATGATTAAGATACTGTAAAAATTAAGCTGATTTGATCAGACTTATTTATTTTGCTTTTTTATTCTTGTATTGTTCTTGCCCATTATAAGCCCAAGAACTTTATCTTTCTTTTATCTGTTTATCTACATCTGTGCTGAAGAATTATTCATTAATGAAATAATCAGTTAAGAAGAAGATAAGTTGATAAGATAAGATGAGTTGTCCGTACCAAGTATTACGGTACTAACATACATGCGCACTAAAAAAATTAAGAATGACCCTGGAGTTGGAATTGCCTTTTGTTCCCACAGAAGATAGGACATTTCAGGTCCATATATCAATTGTGCCATTATGAGGCATGAGGGTATAAGCAACAAATCTCCAACTCGATCTCTCTTACACAATCAAATTTGGTACAAATCTCAATAAAAATCTGTACTCTCAAAAATGAGTTCACTTAATTTGGAAACAAAATTAAAGAAATTGCATGGTCATTCTTGGGATAAATATGAAATTACTGCAAGTCTTAAAGATTGATTGTGAAAGCTCTTATGAAAATGTAAATTGCTGAAAACTGCCACGCTGTTAACCTCTATCCACCCAGATGCTCTAAAAGAACATGAATTGATCAGGCTTTAAGTTCCTGAGAATGAAGACCAGACTAAGGATGCAGTTGTAGGAAATTGTTTTGGCCCATTTTCTCGTACAGTTTTGTTTGCTGAGCAGACATTTAGAAGTCAAACATAAACTTATCCCTTGCAACCTACCCCCATGTGAAAGTCTAATACTTTCCCTCCAAATGCGCATTCACCAGTACCTAATTTTGTCTTCCTTAATCCCTAAGCTGAGGGTGTCATTCAAAAGGGAGCTTTCATAATTTATATGTTAAGTCACCTTTAGGTGGATGATACTTACCTCAGGAAGAGTGCTAGTATCTATGGGATGAAAAGAATTATCTGTGTCGATACATTTTTTAAATAAATAATGCTACAGTCATATTTACGAAGCAAAATAACCAAACAATCAAACGTTATCACTTAATAAATGAAGATCAGGACAAACACATACATTGACTCTAAAACTTGCAAGTAATAAATGCATTGCAAATATATCAAGCACATATATGTATGTACATCCAGAAAATCCCATTAAATTATATTTTGCTCTTTATCAAAATCACACAATTTATCATTACCCCACATATTTTCCTTCCAGCGCTCCCACTTTGTCAAAGGACATTGTGCATGACCAATTACCCTACCTTCTGACTGATCAGCAGAGTTACATGTACTAGCTATAGCCACACCCATGTCATTGTTCCTGGTTGAACTCAATCCAGAGTCTGACTACACAATTGAGAAGTGATTAAATTCAGAAATCAACAAAGAAAAACCAGTAAATTGCTTAGGGTTTGCTTTTTAACTCTTGAAGTATAAAACCTGAGAAAAAGGTAAGTGTAGTTTGCAGCCTTAATTACTAAATTTATAAATCAGGGGGCTGCAGCGTTTTGATGGACAGAATAAGTTATAAGCAAATTACCCTTGAGACCTAAGACTGCAGCTTACTCAGGCTGCTTGAAACAAAACATGTTCTTTAGGGAGAAGTGCATGTTTAGAAACAGATGGGCTTTCAATGAGAGGAACTGACCAGTAATCTAAAGTAGAGTGAGGGAGCCACACCCCGTAAAATTTATTTGTCTTTAAGCTAGTTTAATTTATGACTGAAGAAGGCAGAGGGGCCCACAAAAGATAATTTAGGATATCCAAAATTGCCCCCAAGTCACTGCAATCAAAATGAAGGTTTTTGACAAAAGAAAGTGGAACCATAACTCATCCAAAAATAGCCAAATGCCAAAGATAAAATACCTCGTGTGAGATGGGTGGTGGATCTGCAGTTGCAGCTGTTTGTTTGGAGGGATCATTCTGTAGTATCCCTATATGGATAATAAATAAAGAAATGTCATAGTTTAAAACACAACTGTCAATGCTCTTGATGTTCTTTCAGAACTTGTCCTTATTGCTATGAAGAGCAGTTATACTGGTTTTTAATAATTTTTGGAAAAGGGTCATCCAAATTCCCAGGTTCAAAAAACTTAAATTCACAATTTGCACACACAATGTTACCATTATAGCAAGTTATTAAATGTAAAGATACTATGTTTCATTGTACTAATTTATCTATCAATCTACTAAATTGCCATACTAATTTGTTCATCACAAAGTTTGATATTGAAAATGAGGGTATAAGTACACATACTAATGCATCTTATTTATTTGTCTAATAATCTATTTCATATATACATACATTTTGCATAATACCCTTATCATGGTGTTGGTTTACCTGACTCTGTAAGACTTGTTCCTGAGGTTTGAGTTTCTTGGGAAATTGGATTGTCTCCTTTGTTGTAGACTAAACATGTGGATGATGACTGTCCTTGCCCAATTTGGCTTTGACTTGGCACTACAGGAGACAAACTGATGTCATTGTTTGTTACAGCTCCTGGCATTTCAGGCACATACATATTGTACCTCTCCCAAATTGTAAAGAAATTAATTGTGGCCCCTGTATATAAACAATGTTAATCTATCAAGTATATATATTTGCATATTTTTAGTCCAGCACCAAATTTCAATCATACCTGACGCCTGAAGACCCCATTGAGATCCCACAGTTGGATGAGCAGGCACTGATCTCTGACAAATATTCCCTGAATCAAGAGTTATCTAAACAATGCAAAACACAATAAACTATTAATTGCTACTAAAGATAAAATTCATATATGAAGGAGAAATCAATAAGGGCAAGGAAGTCATTTTAATTATTATTTCTCCATGTACCAACTTTTTTTACTACACAAAGCACCAAACAAAAATATGAAAGTAACAACATATAATTTATCAAACACTGTACAGAATCTTTATTTCCATTTAACTCCCTAGAATTAGATCATGGGAGTTAAATGGTTAAGTGCTCTGTATACTTCCAAATTAAAACACCAAACAAAAAAATGACAGCTACAGAATTAAACTACATATGGAGTCTTTAAATCTTCAACTGTGTGATCATTCATGTTCTGAGAAATTAAAATGTTAGTCAGTTTGAGTGAAAAGCACGAAAGTCATGAAACTACCACTAAATGGACATTATGAAAGCATCATGTCACCCTACTATGTTAAGGTGATTGCTAGTTATGAAACTATAAAGCCAAAATAATCAAAGATGTCCATGTGCATATGTTTATGAACATATTATATATGTACATCTGTATGTCCTTATATACATGTATATATGTATGTGATCCTCCACTCTGATTTCAGGGACAAAGGTGATAACAAGCTCAAAACATGCTTTGCATTTCTAATATGCACATATAATATTTTTAAACAATGAAGGACACACTATGTCTTCTTTTGGTCAAGTTGGCATGCTCATTCTTTGTTTTGTTAAGCATGATCAAAGTCATGCTTAGTGTGCAAGTTAAACAGGATAACACACTAAAGCAAACCGAAATGTTCCTATTTGTGAATATCTCTTCATTCATCCAAATCGTTTTTCTTAAACTCAATTGCACTTGATTGATAATGAGGTAATTACCAATTCCTCATTGAAATCTACACTGGATATTCAATATTTGAAGATCACCTAGTTAACACCAAGAAAAAATTGACCATAGATTATGGTGAGAAAGTTACTGGTGACACATTAAAACTTCCATTGTGTACATAAGCTAAGAAAAATGATTCTGACATTACTAGGAATCCTAATTAGCCACATGCCAAATGTAAAAAAGCAGGGCAGGGCAATTTACAAGCATTAGCAAACCTGCACTTAGCCATTCTGTTATGCAATTCTCATATACTTGCCATACTATTCCTAGCATCCTGAGTTGTTCCTGGTAGCAAACTATTTGTGTTTTGCAAAACATACTGCTGATCTAATCCTGTCTGAATCTGTTTTTGAAGTTCTGTTGGATTTGTAACTGGAATACTGTTTCCCAGCTGTAATGCAATGAGGGTATCTTTCCTGACAGTTAAATCATCTTGAACCAAATGGTATAATTGTCTTTGAGGAGCCCTTGAAACAATTGGCTGTGATTGGTGTTCCTGAACTGAGGTTTGCATGCTAAAATTATGAAGATGAGGAGAAGATGACATAGAAACTGGAGGGTGGGCGGATGGTAAAATGCCCCCAGAAGCTTGTGTCTGGTGGCCTGGAACAATAGTGCTGCTTGTTCTGGTACATGTATATGCAACTGGAGTGGCAGTTGCTTTGGAAAATCTGTCTAAATAAACGTTTTGTGAACTGATGTTCTTTTGGGATGTTGTTGTTGTTGTTGTTGTTGTGGTCCTGTGGCCCTGTGGTCCATTTTGTGGCACATTTACAAAATGCAACAGCATGGGAGTATTTAAATTGCCAATTGGTGATACACCAGTGGCACTGCATTCCTTTGCCCTCTTGCATACAGCTGCAGAGGCACTTCCATCATTCCTTCTTTTTCCTGATTTTTTACCTGGAAGCCAAGTACATAGAGATTATTCTTGAAAGATTTATGTGCAATGTACGGAGGTCTCAGTTCTCAGAAATTATATGGGATCGACTGTATTGCAATCTTCTTATGTATTGCTGAGCATGAAAATTTTGTATCAATCAACCCGTCAATATGGCTCAATCTTTTAGGTCAGTAAACTTGACATGTACTTAGAGCAGCCATAAACTCAGAGAAAACATTAAGTCCAAAGCTAATCCTTTAGGGTGAAGTTATTACTAAAACCTTGAGTGAATTAAAACAGAGTAGATAAGCTAATAAAACTAATGTATTCAATGCCTATACAACTTTCAGAATTTTCAATACAATTAAAGCTATGAAATTTTCTGGCCATGAAGTCCAGTAAATGTTTAACTCACATACAAATAAGATGTTCATACATTTTTCACCCCTAACTGCAAATTAAGAGCTTGTTTCAATATTAAGCTCTTGTCTCAAAATTTTTCTTGATCATGCATTCACCTTTATGTTTCTTAATTATATAGTTTCCAGGCTACAAGCAATCAAGCTGTACACTGGATAAATTTGCACAACTTTGGTGCACCTTAAAATCAGATGTTAATATACAGTGTATAATATTTTGTGCTGCTAGAAAGGGTATATAAAAAGCTAACCTCTACAGTTTTGGAAGACAGCTAGTAATATGGCATTACTACAGATCACTCAGACACTCCTCTTGAATATACAAATTACCTGCAAAATTCCTAGACTGTGTACAAACAGTTGGCCTCTGTGACAATGTCTCTGACCACTCAGAATTTGTCATCTGTAAAGAACCAATTATATATATAATCATATGTATAAACAACAGCCTCCATTTAATTTGGTGCAGAAACTATCCTCAGGTATTTCCTAGTGAATGAAGCTCAAGGAAAACTTTGAGCTGCAAGGAACAGATAATGTCCAAGGACAAATACACACGTATCCAAGCATATTGGTGTGCCATATGGAGGTTACTGTTTTCAATATCCTTTAAATATTTTTGCAGCACATGGAACAAAATGTTTGCCATCTGAGCTTTCTATTTACTGCAGAGTCCAGGGATGTTCACTCGTCAAAAGTATTACAAATATCTATATCATTTGGCAGCAGGTATATAAAACAATGCAATACACAGTGGTGCACTCAGACAAGGCAGCTTCTCAAGGAATGGAAATTATAATCCTTAATTATTTAATGAATAAATCTGGATTGAATGTTTGTCTACCAGTACAGAGTCACAGTCATTTGATTGCAATATTTTGACTGCCAAACATATACAGCAAGTACGACTTTAAATGACAAAACAAGGTCAAATGATAAATTAATTATGCTGTGTATAGAATAACAAGTATTCCAAAGTTGTAGAAACAAACAAATAAATAAATATATTTTTATTATCTATTAGCTTTAAAACATACTGAACTTTATTTTTACTTTGCAATTAAACAGCTCAACTCTAACATAAAATTTTGTCACATTTCCATAACTCAGTCAGATTTTCCAGTTCTTGTCCTTTATTTTCTTGACACAACACTTTATCTTATTATTTTTCCACATACCTTAGTAAAGATGTAAAGGGCTGAATTTCCTTGAAGGGTCTTTTTCATGAATTGCCCATCCCATACTCTTGGTTCACCATGGAACTCCAGCCTTGTGCGGTTTTCAACCCCAGAGGCAAAAAAAAACCTGATTATAAACAAAGGAACAACTGCAATTACAAAATGAAAACTTACATGCTAGTCAATAATTAATATGACTGTTGCAAAAGTATTGAGAATTGCAAGAAGCACTTGCCTTCAGCTCATGCTTCTCCGCACTTCTCCCATGTTCTTAAAAATTCTAGTGTGCTTATATAACTCAACAATGCACTTGGCACATTTTTTATTTCTTATATACACATATATAATTATGAAGAGATAGGGAAAAAACAGAGACTATACTTTCATCCCTACAAGCCTGTTTCCTTATCTCAATATACATCACACTCTACTAATCTACACATCGAGCACTGTACAATGGAAAACTCAAAACACAGACTTCCTATATATATAATATGTATTAACTTGAAACTTCTCCTCATTATGAGGAGAAGTTTCAGATTAATCACTTCTGGGAGTCAAAGGGTTAAGAATAATAAGATATTCCACCTTAATTTACAACTGAAGCCTAGAAATCATATCCATTTTAGACAAGCCATTGTACACCACTATAAGGAGCATTCCCATCCTTCTTGATGACCCTTATTTAATGATTTTTAAAACATACCATAAAAGCAATGAGCAAAAATTCTTATTGGGTCAGTTATTTTTCTATTATTTTGGCATGTGGTTTTTTTTACTAAAACTAAATCAGCATTCCTGTGTTATTACCTAAGAATAAAAAATAAATGGCATAAGGTACACACTAAAGAGTAACAACACAGAATTAATATAAAGAAACTATTACTACAGTGTCTTATATGACATGTAACAATAATCTTATTCATTTGAGGGTTTGTCACTGAAAAATTCACACTAAACAGAACATATCAAACTAATCGAAGTTTGGTTTTCATTTGGTGCACTGATATTTCTATAGTCTGCTTTGTATCTGTGATTTTTCCCTGTTCTGAAATATAATACTGTCACATAATTTGTACATAATTTATACACTGCATGTAGCATTCACTCAGATAAGGTAAAATACTAAAATAGTGGAATACCAAACAATTATATGATTATGTACCTTTGATTTTTCAAATTTGGAAAATGTGAAAGGATTCTCCCTTTTACTTCTTCTTCTGACATATTGCTGGAGAATTTTATTCCGCTTACATACTGCCCTTTCTCTTTCTTTTTTATTTTTGCCATTTCAATTGTGTTTGGCATAAATAACTGGTCATTTCGCTTGGCAACATCAGTAGCTAACAGGACTGTAACATTGCGATAGAAAATCCCTTCCCCACTCTCAGAGTGTGCTTGTCCCTCCATTGTTATGGATAATCACATCTAGGAAGAAAATCAAAATTAGTCTGTGTAATAACAAACTTAACATACAGTAGTAGGAGACATTACTTTTTGATCAAAAGTCTAAATGTCTATGCAATATTTCCAACAGAATCAGCCAAATAAAAAAAAAGTTTTAATAACATTATGTGGTGGCCAAGGATATTGAAACATTGTTAATTAAGAATAAACAACAGGCTGTAATCATTTTGAAACAAGTCAAGCTCTATTTTGTTGAAAGCTATTACGAGGATTTTGTGGAGGTAAGAAATTAGTCAAATAAAAAAGTCAAAAACAGGAAATAGACCTGTTTCAAAATGACATTCAAAATATTGGCAAAAATCCTCATCCTCTTCTGCATTACAGACCCAACTTAGTGTCTAACAGGGCATTGTTGGGACTGAATTTAAGGACACCACAAAAATATCGTCTGGGGTTTTATTAAGAAGTAAAAAGGATTTAAGTCCACAGGATTGATTGACCCCGCGAGGTCTCGGTGCGAACATACCGCGAGCTTGTAAAGTGTCAACATAGGAAACAAACATGGCGGCTTAATACGATCGCACGATTGTAATCTGAATAGGAGTGTTAAAAACAGTTATGTGATGGAATCTAGTGTTTCTAGCAACTGCACACGCAATATTCATGGCTTTTGGTGACCTAGAAGAGCAAAAACACAAATTTTTTTCTAAAAAAACAGTACGCCTGTGCGGGCGCCAATATCGAGAAAAAACCCTATGGAGCCTCTCAGTTGACATGGGGAACTTCGGAAAATGCACAAAGTTTTCGTTCAGTAACATACCGAATACGTGAATAGACATACCACATCCAATTACTTTAACGAATACTTCACATGGCTTGTAAAAAAATCCAATACGAAGTCTGGTCCATAGTTTTAACGGTTCACACGCTTCTGTTTATAAGCAAATCCACATGTTTGCTGATTGAATGATCAGGCGTCTTTTGGTGTGGAATGAGAGCTCATAACAGAATTTCCCATTGAGAAAGAGGAGAAAATTGCTTTTCCAGCGTCGATCCGATTTGGCAATGAAAGAAATTTCCAAGCATGGAGGAACCGGGAATAGACGAAACCATTCCGAATATCTTGTTTCCAAAAATTGCGAGTTGTGTGTATGCACAGGAAGTCAATGTTGAATTCCTCAAACAGTAAGGTGATCATTCGTCGCGTGACTGAGAACGGTGGTTGGTGAGAAACCAACTTCCGTTTTTGCGTGCGCAGAAACGGAAGTGGCGATGGTTAGTGATCAGCCACTAAGTAATTTCCGTCTCTGCGTTCACAGAAATTGAAGTGACGGTGGTTGGTGATCAACCAACAAGTGATTTCCGTCTTTGCGTGCGCAGAAACGGAAGCGGTCGGTGACAAACCTAAGCGTGACTTCTGAGAGAGGAATTGCATCATGCTATCGATCACGTTTGGCGTGCGTATTTGTGCGTACATTAAAACAAATAGATTCCATTTTGCCGTGCTTCTGTTCGGTGATTAAATCAAAGATAACGTCAAATGTGGTAAGAACGAAAAAGTGCCTCAAGAGGTGCAGCCGAGTGCGTAACTGATTTTTTAACTGCAAAGCAAATTTCGTCGCCTGATAGAGATACATCTCTCCGCAAATCGAAGTCATATCTGCTTTGATTTTGGGCTCCAAAAGATCTATCCCAATCGGGATGGAACGGTAAAACAATCTTGTAAGTTTTAAAGCCTCACGGCTAAACTGGACGGGAACTTGATCGGAAACTTCACACGTCAAATTATTTAAGCACGGCCTTGCGAACAGAGAGATTTATAAAATAAATAGCAGATTCTATAGGAATTAGGAAGGAATTGCGCGTACGCTGTTATGGAAATAGTTCAAGCACATGTGCATAGGAAGCGTTGTATTGCGAAAATACAGTGGAAACAAAGACTGCTTCATGTAACATCCGAGGCGAAAAAACTGCTTTAACTCTAAGGAGGCGTAAACGACATCTACAAACCAAAACTCTGGTAAAACGAAGAAAACGAAATTGAAAATTGATTGAGTGACCCAATTTTCCTTTTCCTTTGGTGAAGGAACAACACAAGCCAGATTTGTCGAGAGAATCGTACATAGGCATATAGTGCAGAACTCTTGTTATAGAAATATAGTCCTTGAGTAGATCTTTGCTTGGACCGGAATAAAATTTCTTGAAAAGAAAACTACTTACTTGACTCTATATTCGAAGCTTGACTCTAAAGAAACTTCGACTCCAAGCTTGTTGCACAGTCTTGAATTTCATGTAAACTGCTCTACAGGTTTTCAACTTTAACAGTCTAACATATACGTATATCTATATATAATCAAGACTGGATGCGTGCGCAAAAACGGAAATCGTTTCTGGACGTTCATGTGATCATTCGTTATGTCATCGCCTAAAAAAAGAGGGAAACCACCTGCTTCAATGAAGAAATGCTTCATTCGCAAACATCTACAACCGAAACTTTGGTAAATGAAGAAATCGAAATTGAAAATTGATTGAGTGACTCAATTTTCCTTTTTCTTTTGTGAAGAAACAACAGAAGTCAGATTTGTCGAGAGAATCGTACATCGACGTATAGTGCAGAACTCTAGTTGTAGGAATAAAATCATTGAGCAGATCTTTGCGTGGACTGGAATAAAATTTCTTGAGAAGAAAACTACTTACCTGACTCTATATTCGAAGCTTAACTCTAAAGAAACTTCAACTCCAAGCGAAGCATATTGCACGGTCTTGAATTACATATGAACTTCTCTACAAGTTTTCAACTATAACAGCCTAACATATGCATATATCTATATATAGTCACGACAGGATGCGCGCGCAAAAACGGTAGTCGTTTCAGGACATTCATGTGATCATTCGTTATGTTATCGCCTATCATGAAAGATTTTCAATAAACCAGATTCAGAGCAAATGTGCCAGCATGGTACACGGTTTCAACGGCGTTATCTCGATTGACGCGCAACCGTAACCGAGAACGCGACGCACATAGCAAGCGAACGTATACATTCTACAGCGAGTTCAGACCAAATCAACAATTACAAACATGTGCGTAATAGATTATTTGAAAGAAATAAAGTAGGAAGGACCTATCTATGAACTAAATTTGCAAAACTGTCTTGCCCAAAATTGTGGGCCGTGCGCTCTCCGAGAGATGGGCCTCAGAGGTACTCAGCAGAAAGTTTTTGAAAACTTTATGTAGAGCTGACGAGAATTCTAAGAGAGCGGCCACAATGACTTGCACGGGACAAACATTCCATCAGCGGGAAAAGGGAATGGAATCATGGGGTTTGCGCGTTTCCAGGCTAAGTTTCGGGTCTATTTTGAATTTAGAAATGTCTTAAGGACTATTCCTTATTCATCACCTTGGCGGGGAAGGGTGGAGAATATTTGGGGGATCACATGGTTTTCAGGGGGAACAATGGGGGATCATTTGTTCCCACAGGTATACAAGGCAGACTATAAATGTGACTGCCATTAATCTCCAACGATCATAAGAATATTGCAGGGCCTTATCGGGGGGGGGGGGAGAGGGATCAGGTAAATTTCATAGTGACTCATCCGAAATCCTCCAATCCCCCCCTCCTTCCCCCCCCCGTAATAAGTAATGAATAGTCCATTAGATTCGTTGATGATAAAAAAATGATAATTTATTATTGCCAACAGTATTTCTGCCTCATACAGTTCATTACGCTACGACGCACTGCTTGCTATTCACAACACAGCACTTGTACTGTTGGCAAAACTAACAGCCTCGAATATAGGACATAAACAGAAGTTACAATCAAGAGAAAATGAGAGGACAACGATGAAAAATTAAATGCATTGGCCTTAGTAGATTAGAGACATTGCTTTGCTCAAACAATGCAGCTTCACATCTCAGATGGTAGTACAGCCCAGTTAGTAACTCATTTCTCTTGTGTCAGCAGATTGCGTGACTAATTCTCTTTTTTTATAATTTTGCTTTCATTGAAAGCGTGTTCTTTGGATTACTAACAACACATTACTCACGATATACTACTTAAAATAAACTAACTGCTTAAAAAGAAGACAACGTCCGGTAACTCTTTTTTCATCGAACTACTTATGGCTAAAGTATCTTTTATGTTAATATTGTAAAAGCAAACAGTTATGTGCAGACAGCAGGAAAAACTAAAAGCTTACGGGGCAGTTTGATCACTCAGACACGGAGAAGAGCGCAAAAACTTCTAAGTTATTTCACCTGTCAGCAAAGATGAAGTTTGTTAAGAAAGATTATGAACAAGGCAATCAAGGAAATTTGTATCTGTAAATAATCGTTACTGCACTATTTCTTCCCCGTCCATAGCCTTGCTTAAGGTACATCCTCTCGTGCGTCTAATTTTACTTTATTCATTTGAGCAGAATATACAATTAACAACGCTATTTATGACCTCATACCTTATTCAGTCAAAACCTGCCAAACTTTTTCCATACCAATTCTGGATTATGCAAAAGGATTCTGACTCTTATCTGCATCCAATATATAACGGAATACATTGGGAAAACTCGTGCTCAGTTCCAGTTGAACTTAATGGAACCAAATCTAATATGATCTGCCCAAGATATCATGTAATTCAAATAATTCACGTAAAAAATTAACAATGCTGTCAGTTATCCGTCATATATTAAAACTAAAAGCTCCAAAGAGCTTGGCAAGATCTTTTAAAATTAAAATATTCATATTTTAAGGTTCAATATATGCATTGTATGGTGAGACACTAAGAATTAAGCAAAAAAATGTTTCTTCCTTTTGTTGAAATTTACGTAGACAAGGTAAACTTGAAGAATACATTCAAACAGTTTTAGAATATTAGGTTGGCCTTCCTTTAAAATCCACAGTGCAGCAATTCTATGGAGATGATCAGGTTTCTATTCAAACTGACTCCCCATCATCTGCCAAGTCGCCTCCTTGATTATCATTGTCTCGAAACCTGCCTGTAGAAAACGATTAAATAGAAGATAATAAAAAGGTTAGGCTTAGATTCGTTTAAATTTGTTCCTCTCCTTCTACAGAATTAGCCTATGGTTTATATCACAGGTGAGTAATAAAACAATAAAGTTTATGTTTTGCGAGCATTATTTAGGGCCCGACTCAGAGTCATTTAAGCCCGAGTCGCTAAGCGAGGGTTAGATTGACTTTAGGAAGGTTTAGAAGGGCCCAAAATGTATTTATGCCCAAGAACATAAACTGTGCTATTATTATTATTATCACGAATGAAAGGTTGTAACCAAGTTTCAATAATGAATAAATATGCGGTAAAATCATTAATATCATTCTACAGTTAACCTCTAGACTTGCATTACCATATCTCTCATTTTTCTTTCCCCGCTTTCGACGCTTCCAGATCTTCCACACACTCTTTTTAGGTTGCTCCTCACTCTGTTGGTGAACATCTGTTTTAAAATACACAGAAGCAGTTGAATTACTGTTTTTCAAAATGTTTGTACATGTCTTCTATGGCACCTTCTTGCTGAAGAAAGAAAAGGAGTGCATAAATAAAAATTCTTGCTTGAACCGTCATATTGCCCATTTCATTAGTGGTGTGATCTCAGTTCCCAATTTCAATGTGCTGGTATTTGATCCATCTGTCAGAAATCCTTAACAATCAACATCAAAACCAGTATATAGGCATTAATCCTAAATTTAGTTGATGAATCTCAATAACTTTAATTTCTGAATCATCCCATACTTACTAAACTTTGGGCATAGAAAGCTCTATTGCATGTCATACAACTAGAACCAAATCAAAAATTCATGCAACTAGTTTACTAACCAAACTTGATCAACTTGAGGTCAATACATATGACAAATTCTTGGGAGAAGTATGCTTCAGACACTATGATTTTGATATTCTTGCTTTAAAAGTATGCTTAAAAATGAACTTATTTCAGCTGCAGGGGGGATAACCCAACCATTTGGTTATTTTTTTCACACACTGTGTTTGCTAATAATTTGGCAAAGAACGTTGCTACTTTGAAAATAAATCTGTAGCCCATGCAGCCACAAGACTTCGAAACCCACCTTAGGAATGGGCACCCCTGTTTATCCCAAAAAACACCATTACTTGAGTCAAGAATGATTAACCTTTATTAAATTAATTTTTAAGGTCTCCAATAGGAGGAAAGAGGGTGGAAATGAGACTTTGTTTTGTCACAGACGAGTGGCCAGGTTGCTTAGAGAGATTCAAAATGGTGGCACGTAACACATTTGGGGTAAATTTATTCAAATCTTACTCTAATCTTTGGGTTTTCTACAGCTGGTTTGTGTCTCAGCAATAATAGAAGTAATTGCACAATTGGTTTTTTAATTATTTTATTGAATAAAAGGTTGTAACCAAGTCTCAATAATGAATAAATATGCAGTAAAATCATTAATATCATTCTATAGTAAACCTCTAGACTTGCATTACCATATCTCTTACTTTTCTTTCCCTTCTTTAGACGCCCCCAGAAACTCTTTTTAGGTTGCTCTTCACTCTGTTGTTGAACACCTGTTTAAAAACACAGGAAGCAGTTAAATTATTTTTCAACAATTTCATACATCTGTGGCACCTTCTTGGTGAAGCAAAAAAAGGAATATAAATAAAAATTCTTGCTTAAACCATAACATTGCTTATTTCATTGGTGGTGTGATCTCAGTTCCCAATTTAAATGTGCTGGTATTTGATCCCATCTCTCAGAAATCCTCACCAATCAACATCAAAACCAGTATATAGGTATTAATCCTAGATTTAATTGATGAATCCCAATAACTTTAATTTCTGAATCATCCCTTTCCCATACTTACTAAACTTTGGGCATAGAAAGCTCTATTGCATAATGCAACTAAGACCAAATAAAAAAATCACTCAACTAGTTTACTAATCAAACTTGATCAATTTAAGGTCAATCCATATGACAAATTCTTGGGAGAAGTATGCTTCAGACACTATGATTTTGATATTCTTGTTTTAAAAGTTATAGTGCCTAAAATAAACTTATTTCAGCTGCAGGGGGAATAACCCAACCATTTGGTTATTATCCTCACACACTGTGTTTGCTAATAATTTGGCAAAGAACGTTGCAAACGTATCAGATCTCTAATCACGTTTGGAGAGATTCAAAATGGTGGCACGTAACACATTTGGGGTAAATTTATTCAAATCTTACTCTAATCGTTGGGTTTTCTAAAGCTGGTTTGTGTCTTAGCAATAATGGAAACAATTGGACAATTGTTTATTTTTTATTATTTCTTGAATAAAAGGTTGTAACCAAGTTTCAATAATGAATAAATATGTGGTAAAATCATTAATATCATTCTATTGTAAACCTCTAGACTTGCATTACCATATCTCTTACTTTTCTTTCCCTTCTTTAGACGCCCCCAGAAACTCTTTTTAGGTTGCTCTTCACTCTGTTGTTGAACACCTGTTTAAAAACACAGGAAGCAGTTAAATTGTTTTTCAAAAAGTTTGTACATGTCTTCCGTGGCACCTTCTTGGTGAAGAAAGAAAAGGAATGTATAAATAAAAATTCTTGCTTGAACCATCATATTGCCCATTTCATTGGTGGTGTGATCTCAGTTCCCAATTTAAATGTGCTGGTATTTGACCCATCTCTCAGAAATCCTTACCAATCAACGTCAAAACCAGTATATAGGCATTAATCCTAAATTTAATTGATGAATCCCAATAACTTTAATTTCTGAATCATCCCTTTCCCATACTTACTAAACTTTGGCAATAAAATACAAGCAATTTAATATCCAACTTCGAAATGCAGAGTACAAGTAATGCTCGAATAGAGTAAAATGTCCCGCAATATTGCGCAGTTGGTTATTTTTTACATATACTGTAAAAACCCTGTTTAACCCGTCTCTATCCGCTTTGCTTTGCAGTTGGATAATAAAGAGAAAGAATATTAAAAAATTATTCTTTTACATTTTTGCTGCCTAGTTAAGCACTCTTGCAATGTCTTCCTGCCGCACCCCAGAAGGAGCTCTCAAGTTATCAGTACTATACTCCTGATGCAGCTAGTCATCTACTGCTGACTTATTTAGAACACTGAAACATATGTGTGTGTGTCACGATATACAATCCAAGGAGGCATGAGGATTTTAAACTGTACACAGCAAGGCCAAATAGTTTGTGGTTTTGTTCTTTGCTCCCATGTCCTTATCCTCCATGTAATTAGTCAAAATACAATATTATGAATAACCATTCCAGTTACATTTCACACATGGTTTTCGGACTTTGACAGAATAACCACATTATAAAAAGATATATAGAGACTCTAGGCCATTCATTTACTCGAAGTCTATCCCAAACCATGATTTTATGCAATCAGCAAGACTAACCCTAAAGCTCTCTCCGTAAGAGGCTTGATTTAATTAAATAAATGTCCTTTCACTGTTAGCTTTCGGCTCTCTTGACACTGTTTGCAAAGATAATTGTTCAAATAAAAGGTTCAGCTAAATTGAGGATTTTTTAGGACATAGTTTAGTTAAACAGTGGCTAAACTTTGTCTTAATAATCAACCTAGAGCCTATTGTTTCTATTTCTGAACTTTATTTTGATGGCATCTACTCAAAAATTCTGCTTTTAATGACACGTGAAAAGAGCAACTAACAGATCTGTTTAGATCGAGCCCTAGCTACCAAAAACAAAATGAGATAATATTAACCTTCTTCCTGGTTTCTGTCATCATCAGAACTATTCTCCTCCGTAGAGTCAATTCCAGAACCTGGATCATAGAGATCTTCCTCCATCTACAGGTTTATAGATTAAAAAAGGATTAAAAAAAAAACGGTGAGAATTCATTCACTCAATACGGTAAAAGTTGATCAAACTGTATGATTTCACTCTACAAACACTAAACTCGTGAGGTGATATCAAGACAGTGAAATTAAGTCCAAAATGAGTGAAAAGATTATTACAACTAAAGTGGGAAAAGTTTAGCCCCCCACACAATACTCACTACCTCGTGATTGTCAATTATTGTCTCTTAGTGATTGAGTCAGCGAGATAGCAGAATCTACAACTATTTTAAAATTACAAGCTTAAGACAGAGTAAACATTGCTAAACAAACCCTGAGACCTTGTCAAAAGGATTATTACCAATATCTATTTCGCCTGAGGAAAATATTTGTTTTAGTATAATTATTCAGGCGCTTTCAAATTCTGTTGCAAATATGTTTTGCTGTTAAAAACATTCTGTTAATAAGGAAATTCCAATGTTTTGATTATTGGTAAGAGAAAAGTAGCCAGTTTCACTAGAAATTAATAGCTTTATTCATTGTAATCAGCAAAAACTTCATATCTCACTTCTGAAAAGTGTTATGCCAAACTCAGTAGCATCTGTGCTATTCAGAACTGAAATGTTTCCTATCTTTTCCTTTAGAATCATTTATAAAAACCACATCATAATCTTCGACCAATAAGGGCACAAGAATCTTTATAACACCTGAGCAATTACACTAGAACACAACAATAACAAACTATGATAAGAAACACACTGTACCCTTTGTGTTACTTCTTTTGGATCATTGTGACAGCCAGTTTTCTTCCCATGTTTCACAGCTTTAGCATCACTCATTTTTGGTTCATTTCCATCTGCAGTATCAGCTTGTACTGTTTGCGAAGCATCTGCATCAAAACATATGTATAGAAAAGTTTTTTATCAGTGTATTTTAAACATGCTGATGTTTATGAAGGACACTATTCTTTGCCGTAGTCAACACCTTATTATTTCAAACAAGACAAGAATAATAGATAAAACTTCCGATCATGTGTATACATTACGCATCTGTTGGTTAGGTATCAGTCTGTATTTTCCATTGACATTCAACTGTGTGCGAGTCGATATATCAGGCAACACTTGAGCGAGTATCGGCTGACATGTTGATTAACATCAGTCGCCTGTCATCCGTCACATGTCAGATGAAAGTCTGGTGACATGCAGCTGATACTTCACCGACACCTGGCTGATACACTCGACCAACACCACTATCACTTGGTTGGCTCTTGTTACTGAGTCCTTTGTTCTCATTGTCCTCATTGGTTAATGATGATGTTTAACCTTTGTTTCTGATTAATTGTTGTGATTACTTTAGCTTTGGTTTTTTTGAGAGTCAATTGAAAACTACTCTCACTCCAAGATAAGTTTGTTTGATACGGAGAGGTTTAGAGCAGTTTTCGATCAAGTATCAAAGTAGCATAATCAGAGTGATAACAATGGCAAATCAGTGTAAAGGTTAACATCATCACAAGCCAATGAAGGCTCAATAAAATTGGACAATTGTCTTTTTTTTATCATTTTATTGAATAAAAGGTCGTAACCAAGTTTCAACAATGAATAAATATGCGGTAAAATCATTAATATCATTCTATTGTAAACCTCTAGACTTGCATAACCATATCTCTTACTTTTCTTTCCCTTCTTTAGACGCCCCCAGAAACTCTTTTTAGGTTGCTCTTCACTCTGTTGTTGATCATCTGTTTAAAAACACAGAAGCAGTTAAATTATTTTCAACAATTTCGTACATCTGTGGCATCTTCTTGGTGAAGCAAAAAAAGGAATATAAATAAAAATTCTTGCTTGAACCATCAAATTTCCCATTTCATTAGTGGTGTGATCTCAGTTCCCAATTTAAATGTGCTGGTATTTGATCCCATCTCTCAGAAATCCTTACCGATCAACGTCAAAACCAGTTTATAGGCATTAATCCTAGATTTAATTAATTAATCCTACTAACTTTAATTTCTGAATCATCCCTTTCCCATACTTACTAAACTTTGGGCATAGAAAGCCCTATTCCATTATACAACTAAAACCAAATCAAAAATTCATGCAGATAGTTTATTAACTAAACTTGATCAAATTAAGGTCAATCCATATGACAAATTCTTGGGAGAAGTATGCTTCAGACACTATGATTTTGATATTCTTGCTTTAAAAGTATGCTTAAAAATGAACTTATTTCAGCTGCAGGGGGGATAACCCAACCATTTGGTTATTTTCTTCACACACTGTGTTTGCTAATAATTTGGCAAAGAACGTTGCTACTTTGAAAATAAATCTGTAGCCCATGCAGCCACAAGACTTCGAAACCCACCTTAGGAATGGGCACCCCTGTTTATCCCAAAAAACACCATTACTTGAGTCAAGAATGATTAACCTTTATTAAATTAATTTTTAAGGTCTCCAATAGGAGGAAAGAGGGTGGAAATGAGACTTTGTTTTGTCACAGACGAGTGGCCAGGTTGCTTAGAGAGATTCAAAATGATGGCACGTAACACATTTGGGGTAAATTTATTCAAATCTTACTCTAATCTTTGGGTTTTCTACAGCTGGTTTGTGTCTCAGCAATAATAGAAGTAATTGCACAATTGGTTTTTTAATTATTTTATTGAATAAAAGGTTGTAACCAAGTCTCAATAATGAATAAATATGCAGTAAAATCATTAATATCATTCTATAGTAAACCTCTAGACTTGCATTACCATATCTCTTACTTTTCTTTCCCTTCTTTAGACGCCCCCAGAAACTCTTTTTAGGTTGCTCTTCACTCTGTTGTTGAACACCTGTTTAAAAACACAGGAAGCAGTTAAATTATTTTTCAACAATTTCATACATCTGTGGCACCTTCTTGGTGAAGCAAAAAAAGGAATATAAATAAAAATTCTTGCTTAAACCATAACATTGCTTATTTCATTGGTGGTGTGATCTCAGTTCCCAATTTAAATGTGCTGGTATTTGATCCCATCTCTCAGAAATCCTCACCAATCAACATCAAAACCAGTATATAGGTATTAATCCTAGATTTAATTGATGAATCCCAATAACTTTAATTTCTGAATCATCCCTTTCCCATACTTACTAAACTTTGGGCATAGAAAGCTCTATTGCATAATGCAACTAAGACCAAATAAAAAAATCACTCAACTAGTTTACTAATCAAACTTGATCAATTTAAGGTCAATCCATATGACAAATTCTTGGGAGAAGTATGCTTCAGACACTATGATTTTGATATTCTTGTTTTAAAAGTTATAGTGCCTAAAATAAACTTATTTCAGCTGCAGGGGGAATAACCCAACCATTTGGTTATTATCCTCACACACTGTGTTTGCTAATAATTTGGCAAAGAACGTTGCAAACGTATCAGATCTCTAATCACGTTTGGAGAGATTCAAAATGGTGGCACGTAACACATTTGGGGTAAATTTATTCAAATCTTACTCTAATCTTTGGGTTTTCTAAAGCTGGTTTGTGTCTTAGCAATAATGGAAACAATTGGACAATTGTTTATTTTTCATTATTTCTTGAATAAAAGGTTGTAACCAAGTTTCAATAATGAATAAATATGTGGTAAAATCATTAATATCATTCTATTGTAAACCTCTAGACTTGCATTACCATATCTCTTACTTTTCTTTCCCTTCTTTAGACGCCCCCAGAAACTCTTTTTAGGTTGCTCTTCACTCTGTTGTTGAACACCTGTTTAAAAACACAGGAAGCAGTTAAATTGTTTTTCAAAAAGTTTGTACATGTCTTCCGTGGCACCTTCTTGGTGAAGAAAGAAAAGGAATGTATAAATAAAAATTCTTGCTTGAACCATCATATTGCCCATTTCATTGGTGGTGTGATCTCAGTTCCCAATTTAAATGTGCTGGTATTTGACCCATCTCTCAGAAATCCTTACCAATCAACGTCAAAACCAGTATATAGGCATTAATCCTAAATTTAATTGATGAATCCCAATAACTTTAATTTCTGAATCATCCCTTTCCCATACTTACTAAACTTTGGCAATAAAATACAAGCAATTTAATATCCAACTTCGAAATGCAGAGTACAAGTAATGCTCGAATAGAGTAAAATGTCCCGCAATATTGCGCAGTTGGTTATTTTTTACATATACTGTAAAAACCCTGTTTAACCCGTCTCTATCCGCTTTGCTTTGCAGTTGGATAATAAAGAGAAAGAATATTAAAAAATTATTCTTTTACATTTTTGCTGCCTAGTTAAGCACTCTTGCAATGTCTTCCTGCCGCACCCCAGAAGGAGCTCTCAAGTTATCAGTACTATACTCCTGATGCAGCTAGTCATCTTCTGCTGACTTATTTAGAACACTGAAACATATGTGTGTGTGTCACGATATACAATCCAAGGAGGCATGAGGATTTTAAACTGTACACAGCAAGGCCAAATAGTTTGTGGTTTTGTTCTTTGCTCCCATGTCCTTATCCTCCATGTAATTAGTCAAAATACAATATTATGAATAACCATTCCAGTTACATTTCACACATGGTTTTCGGACTTTGACAGAATAACCACATTATAAAAAGATATATAGAGACTCTAGGCCATTCATTTACTCGAAGTCTATCCCAAACCATGATTTTATGCAATCAGCAAGACTAACCCTAAAGCTCTCTCCGTAAGAGGCTTGATTTAATTAAATAAATGTCCTTTCACTGTTAGCTTTCGGCTCTCTTGACACTGTTTGCAAAGATAATTGTTCAAATAAAAGGTTCAGCTAAATTGAGGATTTTTTAGGACATAGTTTAGTTAAACAGTGGCTAAACTTTGTCTTAATAATCAACCTAGAGCCTATTGTTTCTATTTCTGAACTTTATTTTGATGGCATCTACTCAAAAATTCTGCTTTTAATGACACGTGAAAAGAGCAACTAACAGATCTGTTTAGATCGAGCCCTAGCTACCAAAAACAAAATGAGATAATATTAACCTTCTTCCTGGTTTCTGTCATCATCAGAACTATTCTCCTCCGTAGAGTCAATTCCAGAACCTGGATCATAGAGATCTTCCTCCATCTACAGGTTTATAGATTAAAAAAGGATTAAAAAAAAAACGGTGAGAATTCATTCACTCAATACGGTAAAAGTTGATCAAACTGTATGATTTCACTCTACAAACACTAAACTCGTGAGGTGATATCAAGACAGTGAAATTAAGTCCAAAATGAGTGAAAAGATTATTACAACTAAAGTGGGAAAAGTTTAGCCCCCCACACAATACTCACTACCTCGTGATTGTCAATTATTGTCTCTTAGTGATTGAGTCAGCGAGATAGCAGAATCTACAACTATTTTAAAATTACAAGCTTAAGACAGAGTAAACATTGCTAAACAAACCCTGAGACCTTGTCAAAAGGATTATTACCAATATCTATTTCGCCTGAGGAAAATATTTGTTTTAGTATAATTATTCAGGCGCTTTCAAATTCTGTTGCAAATATGTTTTGCTGTTAAAAACTTTCTGTTAATAAGGAAATTCCAATGTTTTGATTATTGGTAAGAGAAAAGTAGCCAGTTTCACTAGAAATTAATAGCTTTATTCATTGTAATCAGCAAAAACTTCATATCTCACTTCTGAAAAGTGTTATGCCAAACTCAGTAGCATCTGTGCTATTCAGAACTGAAATGTTTCCTATCTTTTCCTTTAGAATCATTTATAAAAACCACATCATAATCTTCGACCAATAAGGGCACAAGAATCTTTATAACACCTGAGCAATTATACTAGAACACAACAATAACAAACTATGATGAGAAACACACTGTACCCTTTGTGTTACTTCTTTTGGGTCATTGTGACAGCCAGTTTTCTTCCCATGTTTCACAGCTTTAGCATCACTCATTTTTGGTTCATTTCCATCTGCAGTATCAGCTTGTACTGTTTGCGAAGCATCTGCATCAAAACATATGTATAGAAAAGTTTTTTATCAGTGTATTTTAAACATGCTGATGTTTATGAAGGACACTATTCTTTGCCGTAGTCAACACCTTATTATTTCAAACAAGACAAGAATAATAGATAAAACTTCCGATCATGTGTATACATTACGCATCTGTTGGTTAGGTATCAGTCTGTATTTTCCATTGACATTCAACTGTGTGCGAGTCGATATATCAGGCAACACTTGAGCGAGTATCGGCTGACATGTTGATTAACATCAGTCGCCTGTCATCCGTCACATGTCAGATGAAAGTCTGGTGACATGCAGCTGATACTTCACCGACACCTGGCTGATACACTCGACCAACACCACTATCACTTGGTTGGCTCTTGTTACTGAGTCCTTTGTTCTCATTGTCCTCATTGGTTAATGATGATGTTTAACCTTTGTTTCTGATTAATTGTTGTGATTACTTTAGCTTTGGTTTTTTTGAGAGTCAATTGAAAACTACTCTCATTCCAAGATAAGTTTGTTTGATACGGAGAGGTTTAGAGCAGTTTTCGATCAAGTATCAAAGTAGCATAATCAGAGTGATAACAATGGCAAATCAGAGTAAAGGTTAACATCATCACAAGCCAATGAGGGCTCAATAAAAACAAGCCAACTGCCAAGAGCGCGGGAAAACGTTGGTGACCAAGTCACGATTTGCTATAGTTTGGCATCTGATTGGTTGGTAGAGTGGCCCAATTTCTCTGACCAATCACAGAGAGAAGTAAAGCAAAACCAAAGCGGGATTACTTGGGACTCTCAAATGTGAACTACCCTATCAAGTTATTTCAGCTAGAATAATTAGTAAGTTGTCTGATTGCTTAGGGTAAGGGTAAGGTTAGGTTAAGCAATATTAACGATATCAGAGGATTAACTGATTTTTCTTAATAACAAAATCTAAGTTTTAAATTAGGGTTTAGTGCATATGCTGCTCTTAATGGTGTGAGTAGCTTTATCTCGATGTTAACTTGGTAGGACAAAAGTAGAAATTATACCATAGTAAATTCACGGCACAAAATAAGCAACACATGATACTTCCTGTTGCGTAGAATTACTTTGAATCACGGTCATTCAGATTGTGAGCCACTGCACTCATACCTTGGCTCCTGTCTTCTAGCTCTTGTATTTTCTGACGCCACTTATTTGACTCCTTATCCGCTTCCATTGTTGTCTGATTGACGAAGAAAATAATTGTTAGTAATCTTTCAAGAGAATTAACAATTGTGAAGCGATACTCAGGTCTTGGAAAACACAGTGAAGTTGATTACACACTCAACCACTTGTCAATATTCTTGCGTTTTTGGTAACTTTCCCTTTGGAAAGTTATGTTAGACGTTGTAAGCTTTGTAATTATGCCACTTAACCCTTTACACCTTAACACCAGTATTAAAACAAACTCTCCACACTGTTCTCTTAACTTTTCCTTTAGTACCAACAAGGAGAATTTGCTTAACAATCAATAGCTTCTTTAGTTAGTGATCATTTCCTTTATTCTTCCTACTTCAATGTGTGATTCAGGGATGTTATTGTAAGGAGAAAATAGTTGCTGGTCACTCTAAGGGATTAAAGGGTTAATGTCAACTTACTGAGTCTGCTTTCTTCTGGGTATTGTTTAACTTCTCTATCTCTTTCTTCAACTTTCGCTCATTTTCCTTTAGAGCATTCAACCGTTTCTGCAGTTCCTCTTGTTCTTCTCTATTCTGCTTTAATTTTTGGCACAAGTTCTGAACTCTCTCGCCGTACTTTTTTTCACCTTCACCTTCAATTTTCAAAAGAAAGTAATCTTACCTCTTTTTGTAATTTTGAGCTGGATTACGATATTAATAATCTGTTAAGAAAACAAGTTAATCAACTAATTTACCAACTAAATGATCAATTATTTGTTGTAACGAATGAATGAATCACTGAATGAATGACTGACTGACTGACCGACTGACCGGCTGATTGACAGACGTACTGACTGACTGACTAACTGGCTTATTGATTGGCTGACTTACTGACTGACTGACTGATTTTCTAACTGGCTGATTGGCTATTGGTGTATAGGTATTATCGTAACGAAAATTCATGGAAAGTCCAAGCACGAGCGGAAAGGAAAAACTTAAAAGAATTGACTTACAAATACATCTACACGTACCCGTATTAAGTAAACGGAGTCTCCTCTGTACTTCTTCTTCTGACATATTATCTGAAAATGGTATTCCGTTGACATACTGCCCTTTCTCTTCGTTCTCTATTTTTGCCATTTCAATTGTGTCTTGCATAAATACTCGGTCATTTCGCTCGTTAACATCATCACTTGACAGGGCTGTAACATAGCGGGAACGATTCCCTTCTCCACTCTCAGAGTGTGATTCATGTCCCTCCATTATTATTGATAATCACATCTAGGAAGAAAATCAAAATTAGCTTGATTTTTAAAAACAAACTTAACATACAGTAGTTGGAGACATTACTTTTTGATCAAAAGTCTAAATGTCTTCAATATTTCTGACAGAATCAGCCAAATAACAAAAAAAAAGTCTAGTAACTTTATGTGTTATTGCAACATTGTTAATTAAGAATAAACAACAGGCTGTAATCATTCTAAAACAAGTCAAGTTCTATTTTGTTGAAAGCTATAATGAGGATGTTGTGGAGGAGGTAAGAAATTAGAAAAATAAAAAAGTCAAAAACAGGAAGTAGACCTGTTTCAAAATGACATTATTCAAAATACTGGCAAAAATCCTCATCCTTTTCTGCATTACAGACCCAACTCCGTGTCTAACAGGGTATTGTTGGGATTGAATTTGAGGATGCCACAAAAATATTGTTTGGGGTTTTTATAGAGAAATACAAAATGTTCTAACAGGATACAGGATTTGACTGTTGTCCATAGACACAGGGTTCATTAAATTTTAGGCATGGTATGGGCAATTTGTTTGCCTTTCTGTCAGAAATTTGAGAAGTCGTCAAGATCAAAACAAAGATTCCAGCAGCAAAAGTAAATCAACTGTGCTGGTGTTACAAAGTGACTTCTTTCACACCAAACAGGAAAAAGCATGTAATGTTAAGGCATTATGCTATCATGCCAATCGATTCAAAGCTTAAGCTCTCTAAATTCATCGTGATATTGAGAGAACTGTTTTAACACTTAAACACCTAAATATGGCTGAAAGAGATACCAGCTCAGCTTCCTTGAATAGGAAAGTCAGAATTTAGAGTCATTTTTTAGTTATTCTTTTTTAAAAAAAATCTATGTTTAGGGTATTATCTCGCACCAATCAGATCGCTGCATTAGGATGTATCTCGCACCAATCATATCGCCGCATTAGGGTATGTATCTCGCACCAATCAGAGCGTCGTTTTTGTTCTTTGGTTTGAGAGGTGTTCAAATTTCAACGAAGTAATGGTGGATTCGGAGAGAGCGGTTCGTAAAATGGAATCATATTTTAGAATGAGAAATGTTGGCTTTCCTGTGTTTTTAACGTGTATTTTACCGCGCTTTATGAGAAATGCGATACTACTGGACAGATGAAAGATATCAGATTACCTGTGGTAAACGTGTTACCTGTGCTGTGAAAGTGGTGGATAGTTGTTCGAGAGAAAATGGAGTTCTGTGCACTGTAACACGATCATGGTTATTGTTCCTTCACGATAAGAGTGAGTGGAAAAAAATATGATTCAAATATTACTAGAGGTGGTGATGGACTGCACCATACATTTTGATTTGAGCAGTTCTTTAACGTATGTTTTCGATACCTGTGCATCTGCAAGTGATCTTGTGGAGTCGTTTGTGTTTGGCCAAGGACGAATTTAGATACCATCGTTAGCATGTTAATTTGATTTTGTTATCTGGAATGAATGATTTACGGAGGTAAGTTAACATCAGTGATGTGATCTACTAACGTTGAAAATATATCAAGTCGATGTAACAGTTTTGGTCTCGGTCCGCACTGTTGTCAACAAAATAAACACATACCGCTTAAAAATATGATAATACTGACCACCTGCAAAGCTGTCGATTGTTTCTCGAATATTGCGCGTGTTAAATATTCAATAGTGACATCTCGCTTTACATCTACATCTACTTTTATTACGTTGGTAAAATCTATACAGACATCACACCAACCAACTCGCGCACAAGGTGAAAAGACTATATGAAGGCTTGAAATTATATTAAGATCAATTTTGATCTTGAAACGGGCCAGGAATATTCCACAATAGTGCAAATAATCGTGAAAGCTGATCGCGGAAAAGCGATTGGGCGACGCTCGGTAAGTTGTAAGATGACACGTTATCACATACCAGACGAAAAAACTCTGTTGATTCTCAATTTGCATTTTGTACCCACTTTGCATTCTGCAGTCTACATTTTGTATCCGGTCTGCAGTCTGCAGTATGCATTTTGTACTATTAGGTATCCGTGGCACCATTACAATTTATTTGTGGTTAGAGTTATTCGCACAACACACACAATCTACAACGAACTACCTGTGTATGAGTTAATTCGACATTTTCGTTCTTTTCTGCGTTAATACTCTTCTTTCCTTTGGTAAAAATGTAGACATCACTTACAATGTTTCAATTAATCCACTCACCCCAAAAAAAGATAACTCTTGCATGCATAGCATGCCTATGTTTTTATTGCTACCACAGATGAAGCTACTAGCTTTTAAGCGAGCTTTTGGATCAGTCAGTTTGAATTCGAGTTTTTGAAAATGGCTGTAAGTTCAGTGGCCTACAGCCACTTCGAGTCAGTATTTTGACATGTTGAACTTCGGAAAATGCAGAGCATTTTCGCTCAGCAACACAATGCGTAAATAGGCATACCACATCCAATTACTTTGACGGATACTTTAAAAGGCTTGTGAAAAATCTAAAAAGAAGTCTGGTCCATGTTTTTAACAGTTAGCATGCTTCTGTTTATAAGCAAATGCACATGTTTGCTGCTTGATGGATCAGGCGTTTGTTGGTTCGGAATGGGAGCTCATAACAGAACTTCTCAGAGAGGAAGAGGAGAGGATTGCTTCTCCAGCGTCGATTTAATTTGGCATTGGAAGATTCTAGAAATTTCAGAGAAGGAAGGAACCGGGAATGAACGTAACCATAATGTGGCTTCCATGGGCGACTAACTTTCAGCAATAAATACAGAGAGTTTTTAACATGACTTAATGATATACACTATCTCAACAATTTATGATACTAGTTGGTAGGATCGGTTAAAACTGCACACAAAATAACGAGCGAAAACCTATCACACTTAAAATTAAACTAAATACGCTAAAACTAAATACACTTAGGAAAATTACAACGAAAATAACGATGAAGCCTACACAGTACCAAAACTTACATTTGTTGCGATGCTGAAGCAATACTGCTGAATTACTGCCGAACGGCGAAGAGGCTGCACTACGTGCGATACATAAAAATTTAATATGAAATATGATCGCAAACGGACTTACTTACAAACACGGAAGTGGTCGATGGCAAGCTTTAGCGTCACTTCTAATAGAGGAATTGCATCACGCTATCCATCATGTTTGGCGTGCTTATATTTTAGCAAATAGGATCCTAGTGCCTTGCGTCCGTCAGGTAATTAAATCAAAGATAACGTCAAATGTGGTAGAGATACATGTTCCTTGTCTCCGCAAATGTAGGTCATATGTGCTTTGATTTTGGGCTCCAAATGGAAAACAATCCTGAAAGTTTTGGAACTTGACGGGAACTTGATTGGCAGCTGCTAGCTGAAGTGAAACTGCACACGTCACTTTATTTAAGTACGGCCTTGCGAACAGAGAGATTTATAATATAAATAGTACTCTTAAGGAATTAGGTAGGAATTGCGGTACGCTACGTTATGAAAGTAGTTAAGGCACATATATACGCATGGGAAGCGCTGTATTGCAAAAATACAGTGGAAACAAAGACTCGGTGAGCTTCAATACGAGCTTACTGGTTTCTGCGGTCGTGACCGTAGTATAGTAATTTACCTCGTGCTTCAATAAAGAAATGCTTCATTCGCAACATCCGAGTTGCTTTACTGCTTTAACTCCAAGGAGACATAAACGACATCTACAAACCGAAACTTCGGTAAAGTGAAACCGAAATTGAAAATTGATTGATTTTCCTTTTTTCGAGAGAATAGTACATCGGCACATAGTGCGGAACTCTAGTTGTAGAAATATAATCATAGAGCAGATCTTTGCGTGGACTGGAATAAAATTTCTTGAACAGAAAACTACTTACTTCACTCTATATTCGAAACTTTACTCTAAAGAAACTTCGACTCCAAGCGAAGCTTGTTGCGCGGTCTTGAAGTACATATAAACTGCTCTTCAGGTTTTCAACTATAACAGTCTAACATATACGTATATCTATATATAGTCACGACTGGATGCGTGCGCAAAAACGGTAGTCGTTTCAGGACATTCATGTGATCATTTGTAATGTTATCGCCTATCAACGGTAAAACCTATGAAAACTACTTGAGAAGGTCTGTGTTAGCTCTAAACTTTAGATAAGCTCAAGTTTACATTTCTGATCTTTCATACCTTGACTTCAAGAAAACTGCATGGTCGACAAGTGACAGCTAACCCATTAGGACCCTCGTTTTCCGCTAGTGGTTCCCAATTCTAAAAAAAATTCTACCTAAAATTCAAATTTCATATGATTTCTATTTCCTTTTCAAGGATCATTCATCTACATCGTAATTATGGCGTCGTAGTCTTGATAAAAAGAGACTCACAGGATAAATTTTGACTTTTAAATTTAATCATCGCATTTTAATTTTACACAGATTTTGTTCTAAACTGCCAGCATTATGTTGCCACGTAACCATTCGAATCAAAAATAAGTTTCTTCCTCTTTAATAACCCAACAACTTAGATTTTTCGAAGGAACCTAACTGCCTCTCGAGTGAAGGGGGCTGGGGCGAGGAAAAGCTTGCAATTTGAACATTGATTTGATTCGTAGGGTTGTTTTCAAGCCATCCCCATAAAATGGCGTTTTCCATCAACTGAACGACCCTTTCCAAGAAAAGAAAAATTACCCAGACACACTCGTTTACCAGAAAAAAATTTCTTTGTCAGTTTAACTCAACATCTCGATTTTATTCGCGTTCGGCGTGTGGAGAACGCACGCTATTCCTATCACTTTCTTCCTGAATGCTGAACAATTTTAGGGTTTAGATGACATCTTGGACTAGCTGACCACTCGCCTCGATTTCACGCGATACCTTTGAATCTCGCTGGCTAATCGAAGTCCTGCGGGTTGACTCGCTTCGGTTTGGATTATGAAAACAGATAGCAAACAAACGTACAAATCCAGACTTTTCTCACACTTGAGGGAAAGGAAAGGCCGTAGTAATCTGTAATCGCGCTTGTTACACCTTACTCAGGCGACTGTTGAATGACAGTGGGTGAATTTGCTTCGAGATAAGCCTTTCCAGTTAGTTCAGACCAAATTAACAATTACAAACATGTGCGCAATAGATTACTTGAAAGAAATAATATAGGAAGTACCTATCTGTTAACTAAATTTGCAAAACCGCTGTTACTCAGGATTGTGGGACGAGCGCGCTTCGAGGGATGGGCCTCCAAGGGTACTCAGCAGAAATCAAAGTTTTTGAAACTTTATTTGGAGCTGACGAGAATTCTCAGAGAGAGGTCACAATGACTTGCACGGGACAAACATTCCATCAAGAGGTAAAGGAAGTGGAATCATGGGGTTTGCGCCTGCTGGCTGTGTTTCGGGTCTATTTTGAATTTCGGAATGTCTTAAGGACTATTCTTTGTTCATTACCTTGGTGGGGAAGGGTGGAGGATATTTGGGGATCACGTGGTTTTCAGAGGGAACAACGGGGGATCATTTGTTCCCAAGGGTATACGTGGCAGACTATAGAATGTGACTGCTGCTATTTTACCTCCACGATCATAAGAACATTGCAGAGCCTTATGGGGGTGGGGGGAGATCAGGTAAATTTTATCGTGACTCATCCAAAATCCTCCGATCCTCCCTCCTTCATGTAAATTCATGTAAACTGCTCTACAATTCTTCAACTATAACAGTCTAACACATACGTGTATCTATATCGGTCACGACTAGACGCGTTCGCAAAAACGGAAGTCGTCTCTGGACATTCATGTGATCATTTGTCATGTCATCGCTTAAAACACAAGGGAAATCACGTGCTTCAATGAAGAAATACTTCATTCGCAACATCCGAGGCGAAAAAACTGCTTTAACTCCAAGGAAACGTAAACGACATCTACAAACCGAAACTTTGGTAAATGAAGAAATCGAGATTGAAATTGATTGAGTGACTCAATTTTCCTTTTTCTTTTGTGAAGGAACAACAGAAGTCAGATTTGTCGAGAGAATCGTACATCGGCATCTGGTGCAGAACTTTTGTTGTAGGTATAAAATCATCGAGTAGATCTTTGCGTGGACTGGAGTAAAATTTCTTGAAAAGAAAACTACTTACTTGTCTCTATATTCGAAGCTTAACTCTAAAGAAACTTCAACTCCAAGCGAAGCATATTGCACGGTTTTGAATTACATATGAACTGCTCCGCATATATCTATATATAGTCATGACTAGACGCGTGCGCAAAAACGGTAGTCGTTTCAGGACAGTCATGTGATCATTCGTCATGTTATTGCCTATCAACGGTAAAACCTATGAATAAAGTTTGAATAAATTTCAATTTTTAAATTGAATCATTGTATATAAGTGATCACTTCTTTCGACGTTACTTTCGTTTTCTCACGTCTTTGGTTCGAGTGTTTTGTTTATTTGGTCCTTGATTTTCCATTTTTAGTAGAAATCGTTCACACTGTTTCATAACTAAGTTAATCAGTGACATCGGACACTGCGTTTTGTTCGACATATTCTTGTTTAACCGGTTTGATCACGTGCGTTTTTTGTAATAATATCCTGATTTCGTTTTAAGAGTTTCGATGTTTTTCTACCGAGCGAATTGATGTATGAGTGATTCCTACAAAATAAACACGTTTAACGGAGTTTCGAATGTGCCGTGTGATCTAAAACAATTTTCAAGAAACCAGATTCAGAGCAAATGTGCCAGCATGGTACACGGTTTCAACAGCGCTATCTCGATTGACGCGCAAACGTAATCGAGAAAGCGACGCAGATAGCCAGCAAACGTACACATTCTTTCCAGCGAGTTCAGACCAAATCAACAATTACAAACATGTGCGCAATAGATTACTCGAAAGAAATAAAATAGGAAGGACCTAATTATGAACTAAATTCACAAAACTGTCGTTGCCCAAAATTGTGGGCCGTGCGTTCTTCGAGGGATGGGCTTCTAAGGTACTCAGCAGAAAGTTTTTGAAAACTTTATGTAGAGCTGACGAGAATTCTCAGAGAGCGGCCACTTTCTTCTCTACCAATTCTAGACAATGCAAAAGGATTCTGACTCTTATCTGCATCCAATATATACCGGAATTACATTGGGAGAACTCGCGCTAAGTTCCAGTTGAACTTAATGGCACCAAAATTTAACATGATTTGCCCAAGATATCATGTAATTCAAATAATTCACGTAACAAATCAACAATGCTGTCAGTTACCCATCATATATTAAAACTAAAAGCTCAAAAGAGCTTGGCAAGGTCTTTTAAAATTAAAATATTCATAATTTAGGGTTCAATATATGCATTGTATGATGAGACACTAAGAATTAAACAAAAAATTGTTCCTTCTTTTTGCTGAAATTTACGTAGACAAGGTAAACTTGAAGAATACATTCAAATAGTTATAGAATATTAAATTGACCTTCCTATAAAATCCACATGCAGCAATTCTATGGAGATGAGCAGGTTACTATTCAATGTGACTCCTCATCATTCGTGAATCCGTCTTCTTAACTATCACTGTCTCGAAACTTGTCTGTAATGAACGATTAAATAGAAGGTAATAAAAAGGTTAGGCTAAGATTCGTTTAAATTTGTTGCTCTCCTTCTACAAAATTGGCCTATGGTTTATATCGCAAGTGAGTAATAATACAATTATTTATAGAGTTTATGTTGGCGAGCATTATTTAAGGCCTGACTCAGAGTCATTTAAGCCCGAGCCGCTAGGCGAGGGTTAAAATGACTCTGGGAAGGCTCCGTTGGGCCCAAAATATATTTTTACCAAGATCATAAACTTTATTACTATTATTGTTATTATTATTATTATTATTATTGCTATTATTATTATTATTATTATTATTATTATTGCTATTATTATTATTATTATCACATCGGGGGAAACTGAGAAATTAAAATTGAAACTGAAAAACTGACAACAAAACAGTCTTGGCAACCACACGAGCGAGCGAGAGAGCTTAAGTACATTTTCCCCGACAAAATCTCCTCTTGAGCGCGCAAAATGCGCCTTAATGCCCGACAAAGTAATGATAAAATCAGAGTTTAAATTTTTGCCGTTTCACGTTGC